TTTTTCTTNAAGGTGACGTGAACCACGTATATGCATTCATAGTGCGTAGAGCTAGCTCCATGGAGCTGGGAAAAAATCTGCCGCAGGGCTGTACTACTCACCTCCATGGAGCTGGCTCCATGGAGCTAGCTCCATGGAGGTAAGTACTACAGCCCCTGGTGCGAACTGGGTTGCTCTTGAAAAAGTCTTTGGAAATACCGGTAATAGAGTGTCCTGCACATTTCATTATATGCAGTCTGTGCATCTTCATGCTAGGAGGCTAGGCCAGGACGATGGAGAGAAATTTACAAACAGAGCAAAAGAAATACTTAAAACCCCTTCACCTGAAGGCTATTTTGAACTTTATCGTAGGTTACAGAACTTCATTCGCAAAAGACCAAGACGAGTAGAGGTTTTAAAAAAATGGCTGCAGTGGTGGCACGAACGTCGGTTTCATGTATTTAAAGCTTTTCGGCCAAAAATAAATGTTCCAAATATGAACCTTTCTGAATCTTATAACTCTCGATACACAAGATCTGGCTCTAATAATCTGTCCCTGGTTGATGCTGCTTATGACGATGTGGCAGATATGATAATAACAGACCGGGAACTAAAACAGTTGGAAGGAGGTAGTTTCAGTGGAGGCACCGGTCCAGACAGCAAAACAAGACAGGCCAGGGAACATGCAGACCAACAGAACAGAGCCAGAGCGTATGGCGAAACATTATTTAACATTTATGACAATGATGAGTTTGGTAAGGCATGTGAAGGGGAATATGACGACACTTTTGTCCCTGATGAAAGAAGTTCTCATCGGCCAGATAAACAAGAAAAGAAAGCATGGAGATGCTACTAACTCAAGCTATTCCAAGAAACATGCCATGAGAGAAGAACTATTGACTCCACAGATTCAGATGAAAAATCTCCAGACAATCTGGACAGGACTAATTCTGGAAAAGCAAAAGAAAAGCGTCCATACAACTATAGAAAATGTCCTAGCAAACTGCACAAAGAGGCAGTCCAGAGGGTTAAACAAAATGCTAACAACATATCTATTAGCAATCTTATTGTTGAGGTGTCAGAACTTAAGTACAAAACTTTCAATAAAGTAACGAACGGTCTATATGATACAGTAATTAGCCGAACCCCAAACTGTTCCTGTCCCTTCTTTAAAAAATACAATGGCAAGCAACTTTGCAAGCACATACTATGGTTATATGAGCATGTTTTTAAATTAAATGCAGATGATTTCATTACCTGGCAGATAGGACTAACAAAAAGTGAACTTCAAAAGATGTTGAGTCATGTTAAATAAACAATCAAAAACAAATGATCAACATTCTGAGAATGAAAGTAGGGGGGGAGGGGAAGGACAGAGTAAACCTCAGAATCAGAGAGTCCAGCTGGAACCTGTTGAGCAGGAGGCTCTGTTTGTTGCTTACAAGAAAAACAGACCTTTTACTCCTGTTAGGTGGACGGCTGGGAGGCTTGAAAAAGACAGTAAAGCTACATGTGTAGGGTGTCGGAAATCATCAATGATTAAATCTATGCTTTATATTTCTGTGAATGCACTGTGGATCACTCCCCAACACAATGTTGTACAAAGAAAATTTTTCTTTTGTGCAAAATTCAATTGTATTTCAGTTAAGCCCCAGATGAGTGATTTGACTTGTCCACCACAAGAAGTGTATTGTGCTTCTGACTCATGTAAACTTTACCCTGGAGATGTTGAGAAGTTAAAGGACAGGGGCATTCCCATGGCCTCTTAGTCTTAAACAAAATTCGAGATCTTTTTTCACCTCCAATCATCATTGCAAGTTGATGGGATTTTAGGCTTACTTCATGTCACATATTATGTAGCCATATATGTATATTATTATTATTAATATATATAATTTAGCTGACGTGAAGTAGGTAGTTAGGTGACAGATTTACAAATTACTTTGTCATCCTGTTCATCATTGTGATTTATATCTAACCTTTCAAACAAAATAAGTATCTTATTTTTGCTTGTGATGCACAATCTGTACAACATATCCACAGTATAATGTCAACCTTGTGTCTTGCAAGCTATTTTATCACTATTAAAACTGAACATACTTTTGTGTACTCTGCAGGCTGTAAATAATTGCATATTATTTGAACTTACGGACCGTTACTATAGTGATTTCAACTTAGTATAGAGTATATCCAATAGCTGATTACAATAGAAATGACTTGATATGACTTGATGAATCATGTGAAATAGCAATATTTTTACTATATGTAAGACTATAACTTGATTAAGTGAAGGACATTCACATTACAAGCTCAGCTGAGCTTGAGTTATTGGTGAAAGTAGTCAGTCTACAAGAGGTTTGTACATTGACAGAATGATTTAAAGACTTCACTACACTTCAAGTGTTTCAAAGTAACATTGATGTTAACATGTTGACATGGATGTCTTCTCTGTTTACTGTATTTGTCCTCATCAGCTAAGGAAAGGACAAAATGTCACATTAAGATGAATAAAGGGCAATAAATTACACAAAAAGAGTTCTTTGTGTATTGTGTTGTACTTTCTGCATACTTTTTAATGAGTGAGAATAAGCTATATATATTTTTTCACATGCAGATGCTTCACATGCAGACATTCCATATAGAATGGACAAATATGCTTGAGAAAAGATGAAGTGCAAATCCCAAGGGACTTGATCAAATGTAAAGTTTTCACGCGCAAAAAAGGTTAAAATTTGCGCGTGGAAGAATATGCTTGAGAAACTTGTTCAAAAACGTGAAGTTTTCATGCGCAAAAAAGTTTAAAATTTGCGCGTGGAAGAATATGCTTGAGAAAAGATGAAATTAAGGATGGATGTGCAAATCCCATGGGACTTGTTCAAATGTGAAGTTTTCACGCGCAAAAAATGTTAAAATTTGCGCGTGGAAGATAAAGATAAAATTAAGATTCCCAAAAATGTCCAAGACCCCCTGGGAATTGCCTAATTTGCATATTTTCACGCGCAGATTTTTCACGCGCGCGCAAATTTTTCACGCGCACAAAACCCCATCCCGAAATAACAGGTGAAATGCTGGTGTGTTATGCCGATTATACCGGCAGTTATACCGGCTATACCAATACAGATGTACATTGTATACAGACTGAAATGCTAAACATGAAATATACTAACCTTGCACTTGTAACTTGGCTGCCACAATGTCCATGACTGTCTTGACCGCAGTGTTGTTAGGTGAATACGCCACCTCCCATGTCTCAAAGATTAGAGTCTCCGGCAGTCTATCCACGGTAAACTCGGGGTAATATATGGGAGTATCCCGCGGTATGGACTCGACGTCGTGGCGGACAAACACCAGAATCAAGGCGAACAACGCCGGCAGTCCAATCTCAAAAATGGTGACAATTTTTTTCCTCTTCTGGAGAAGGTAGTTCTTCCACAGAAGAAGTTTGAACTGTGTCCAAGCCTGCATTTTTATTCTTTTTTTATTGCTTAGACTCCTGAGTTAGAAAGGTGACAGAAGTTGGCACTCAGCTACTGGTACCTCAGTCATAGGCTATCCAACCCTGCAAAAAACAGCAATGAGAATGATAGTACAGCACATGTTATAGAGAGGTTATATAATATATGCCATTCCTTATTAATATCTGTCAAATATTATATCTGTCAAATACTTGACATATTAGATTGATATTTGGTATGCATACCTATGCATATGATATTACAGTTGGATTTGTCTAGAATATCTATGAAAATGTCTTGGTGTCACAAGACTATGTGTATTGTTAACACTTAGTAGAGGGCCTGCAAGCCCTTTTTTGTAAGGCGTAATCAGGCCGTTTTAGACTTCGTAATTCGTAGGCAGCCTCCCCAGAAATCAACGTAACTCGTAATTGGACATTAGCCGCAAATCTTAAAGTCGTAATCAGCTCTGAGACTTGAACGTAATTCGTAAAAGGCGGCAAAAATTTTGCGTGATTCGTAATCACTACCCCCCTTGCAGGCCCTCTTAGTATGGTCATGCAAAGAAATGTGATGGGTAATACAAAGGTGCTCATGTCTTAATTACAAGGTATAACTATTGCCAACAGATATTACAATGTATCAGTCATAGGGGCATAATCAATGTCAACTTTTGTTACTCCACTGACAAAGTAACACATTACACTCAGAAATACACCACAGAACAGCCGTGAAAAACAACAATTAGAACTAAAGTGCTTACAAAACCTTACAAATGTACCTGTTCACCGGTCGTGCACCATTGTCTTCAAGGTGTCCGGCACACAAAAGCTGACGTAACAATGGGGCAGTTCACAGTTACGGAATCCCCTCGTGACTACCTTGAGGCTCCAATCTTTAGTTTACGCAATGCCAATGTTGACCTACGCGACCGTTTACCTGTGTTTTAGGCACGTGATGCTTGCTGACTCTCCCTTATGTGGGTCGCCTGAGTTCGAGTTAATCATTTAAATCCAGGTCAGTCGCATGTCTGGTTCTTGTCTTGCACAAAAACAGTCTTGGAAATAAAATGTTTCTTACGTAAATATATACAAGTAGTTCAGTATAGTTTATTACCTGATCTGGCGTCGTTTTCCGAGTTTTGAGACGCCGGTTTTCTTATCTTCCTTCAGAAACTGACCGCCAGGTCATCTGAGATGATTGGAATAGTCCATTTCTTTCAAGGGGTAATGATAATATTCTTTCCTCAAGATAAGTCAGATTTTCTTCTCAAAAATATTTATGGTGAATGCAACAAATTTAAATTATTCATTTATTATACGAAAAAACCTTTAATAGTGATAATTACTCCTATAGTAAATTCTTACGAAAGATTCATTGACAGTCACCCCCTACTTATGTGAACCATTCCGTTCTTTGTACTGATTACGCAACTGACTTCCGGGTAATCAGTTTGATCATGAATCGCTAGATGTCGCTGCTGCACTGCTACCGTCCTCGACAGTGGGGCTGAACTTTGACACCACCGCTGGAGAAACGTGCAGACGAAGCAAACCGACCGTTCGCGTGTTTACATGAGCACGATGACTTTCATTTTCACCTCTGTGGAGCTGCAGTAGTTTGTCGATTTTATTAAAGAGGTAAAGCAAGAAAATGGCAACTTCATCAAAAGCTGGTAAGGAAAAGGCGCTTGTGATATATGGATTTATTTGCCAGGTGGGGGGGCATATAATTTATAAACATCATAATTGTAACAGTTAGTAAATTAGGATTTTAAGTATTCTGTACTATTTTTGAGTGTGCTATGTGCAACAGTATTTGCCTTAAAGTAAGTTGTACCGTGTACAGTCGTCGTGTAATTAAGTTCTTCTATAAATCTTAAACTATACATAACTTTATCAATGTTTTAAAGATATAATTTAATAATTTGCCATTTTATCCTACAGATGGAGCAACAGACAACATGTCTAGTGTACGGCATGTGGTGCTGGTTCTGTCAGGAAAGGGAGGAGTTGGGAAGAGCACAGTGGCCGCTCAACTGGCACTGGCACTCAGGCAGGCTGGGAAAAAGGTGAGCAAGAACATGGAAAATGATTTTGATACAGTCTCCCTTTCAGTTTCATACAAAATATAGAGGCATGTGTTCTTGTGCTTGTTTTGCTTTCTGGTTTCCAGTCTATTACTCTATGTACAATTTCTTACGTGGCATTCAACTGTAACACAAGAGAAAAGAGTAACTCAAGGTTGACTCGAACCTGCGCCGCTCGCGCTCACAACCAGCACACCAACCGATTCGGCCAAAAGGTCCAGAACCCATTGGGCCAATTGGGTAGTTACTAAGTAGTGGCGCCGCCTATGAACTCGCTGTTGCACAACAATCCCCAGGTGGCTGGGTGCCAGTCTATCTGAGAATTTGTACCTTGTCTCTGTACGTGTTGCACAGATAGGAATACTAGATATAGACCTCTGTGGGCCCAGCATCCCCAGGATGTTTGATGTAGAGGGACATGACGTCCACCAGATGGCTGGGTGCCAGTCTATCTCTGTACATTTTCACCTTGTTTCTGTACATCTACAGGTAGGAATACTAGATATAGACCTCTGTGGCCCCAGCATCCCCAGGATGTTTGATGTGGAGGGACATGACGTGCAACAGTGGCTGGGTGCCAGTCTATCCCTGTACATTTTCACCTTGTCTCTTGCCGTACATTGTATCTCTACAGGTAGGAATATTAGATATAGACCTGTGTGGCCCCAGCATCCCCAGGATGTTCGATGTTGAGGGACATGACGTCCACCAGTGGCTGGGTGCCAGTCTATCTCTGTACATTATCACCTTATTTCTGTACATCTACAGGTAGGAATACTAGATGTAGACCTCTGTGGCCCCAGCATCCCCAGGATGTTTGATGTAGAGGGACATGACGTCCACCAGTGGCTGGGTGCCAGTCTATCTCTGTACATATTCACCTTGTTTCTGTATGTCTACAGGTAGGAATACTAGATATAGACCTCTGTGGCCCCAGCATCCCCAGGATGTTTGATGTGGAAGGACATGACGCCACCAGATGGCTGGGTGCCAGTCTATTTCTGTACATTTTCACCTTGTTTCTATACAGGTTGGAATACTAGATATAGACCTCAGTGCATTCACAGGATGTTTGCTGTTGAGGGACATGATGTCCACAGTGCCCAGGTGGCTGGGTGCCAGTTTATCCCTGTACATTTTCACCTTGTTTCTGTATGTCTACAGGTAGGAATACTAGATATAGACCTCTGTGGCCCCAGCATCCCCAGGATGTTTGATGTGGAAGGACATGACGTGCACCAGTGCCCAGGCGGCTGGGTGCCAGTCTATCCAGACCAGGACCAGAGACTGGCCCTGATGTCCATCGGTTTCCTGCTACAGAACAGAGACGATGCTGTGGTCTGGAGAGGACCCAAGAAAAATGGTCAGGATTTTAAAATGCTGTAGTTCCCCATTTTTTATGTTTACCGAAGGAAAACATATTGTTTTTGCTCTGTTTCCTCTTCTTCCGTTCCACACACAAAAAGTCAATGACCAGAACCAGACGTCTGTCACCATGGTAACTGGTGTTGGGTAACATCATGCTAGTTCCGTGGACACCTTCCTTTTTCTCAAACCTCAGAACTTTTGCTACCATGAATATAAACATAAAGTGAATTAAAATGTTCTTCCAAAATCTTCCTTCTTTGTCCTTTTGCTATTTTTAGGATATCTTGAATAGTATCTACATAATATGCAATTTTTTTTTCTCACAGCGATGATCAAGCAGTTTATAGGAGATGTGGTATGGGGAGACTTGGACTACCTCATCATAGACACACCCCCTGGTGAGTATTTTTGAGTTGATTCCGAACCAGAATCTTTTTTTTTTTGAAATCAGTAAAAAATGAAAAGGCGAATCCGAGAACCAACAAGTTGAATTTGTGTGGCCTAATGGTAACTATCTGGCAAATGGATACAGCCTTGCCAATAGACCCATTCGACTTTCACAGATCGCATAATCTGCTTCACAGGGGGGACATTTCGAAAGAACGTCATTCTAGAACGCTGAAGTCGAACGGAGCTTGCGCTCTCGGTGTCCCCCCTGGTAGATCATTTTTTTACTAAAAGGTAGGTAAGTGTCTATTTTCTTGGAAATATATGCGGAAATGACAGGAAAAACAGGCACCAACTTTGTATGGTGGCATTCCGTACAACAATTTAAGGTTATTTTGTTCTGTGACGCATGCAGTCACATGTGAAAGGAACTTTCGAAATGTCCCCCCTGTGACGTAGTTTCTATTCGAAATATCCCCCCTGTGACGTAAGCAGTTAATGCGATCCGTGAAAGTCGAATGGGTCTATTTGATACTGTCTTTGCAGCCACCAAAACACCTGCTTGGAGATCAATGTGTAATCCTGACTGTCTGTCTGTAAAACATGAGATCGTATCATCCTGAATGTCTATCATGAAAGTTGGTAGTTACATTTCATTTAAGTAAAACTCTTTTCCAACACAAAAGGTGTTGGAACAAAAGTGTTCTCACCTACCTTATAACAACTAAGTTTTACCTAAAAACAAACTGAATTTGTCTGTAGGCACCTCGGATGAACACATTTCAGTAGTAGAGAACGTGAGACCGTACCATCCCGACGGTGCCGTCCTGGTGACCACGCCCACGGCGTTGCGGTGGGGGACGGTGAGACGAGAGCTGACCTTCTGTAGGAGACAACTCCGTCCTGGGGGTCGATCGAGAACCTGAGCGGATTTGTTGTGTCCACATTGTACAGTAAGCCTTCTGGGTAGTCTGTTTACATGAGCAGGATCTGTATAGAAAATTCAGGTTCAGGTCCGGATCAGGTTTAGAGGATCAGGTCCAGGTCTGGACCTAAACCTGATTATTGTACAGTAGCACTATATCATATTTTGGAGCGTGAAACACGAGTACAGGTCGCTCACTAGTGAGTTATATATTATTTTCAAGTTGTACTAGGCACTGTATGTAATGATTGCTATGTATATTGTATATTGAAGCTGAACACAGTTACAGGAAGAGACAAACATGGATTTAGGCCAATCTAGTTTGATTCAGGGTTATTTTCTTTACCTGCCGTGGCCAGATTATCTAAAGATGTGTGTACAACCTACAGAAATGTACATCAGGTCCGATGATCCGGTTTTCATGTTTCGGTTTTTTGGTACTCGATTTTCGGAATGTCATTCTGGTTTAAACCGGTCCGTCTGAACTGGTACCCATCCCTAAGTAGGATACTATTGTGAAAGTTCGTCTGTATTGGTAGTTATTACATGTTTAAAGTTTAAACATTTCTTCCAACACAAAAGATTATTCAGACAACTAGAGCTTTCGACCAGTCACTCTGGTCTTCCTCAGTAGACTGAGCCAGTAGAGGCTTGTCACGTGGCTTCTTTGAAGTGTGACGTCAACACTGGGTCAAAGGTTTTAACGTTAGACATAAGTAGAATACACGAAAGAACAAATGATGGTTAGATGGATGTCCAGGAGTGGGATATACTTTTGCTGGCTCCTACCTGACCTGTTGCCTACTAGTAGATATTCATGAGTTTGAACATTTCATGCTGAATGTATGTTCAACTTGTCAGAAGTTTGATGAGAATCTCTCTACCCTACAGGAATGCACCAATGTGTTCTCAAAAGGAGGAGGTGAAGCTTTAGCCAACCAGTTCAACGTTCCATTTCTAGGTGAGTAAAGTGAAATTTTTTCCTTGGTGCTGAATCTGCACTCTAGGCATCTGGTATCTGTTCTTGGGTAAAAAAAATCAGGTTGGGAACGCCAATCTTGTGAAACTATATTGTGCCCTTGTAGTGTGACACTATGAGTGAGTGAGTGAGTACATGTTGTATTCTGACTGCCTCTGGAAGCTGTGTCACTGTAATTTATCTAGAAAACTAGAGTTCGGAGGGCTCGTGCCTTCGACAGTGTGATATTGTTTTGGTGGGTGTTGTGTGTGTGTATAGTATAGTGTATCTTGACAATGCCTATCACTAAGACAACCTGGATGCCAAAAATCGTGAACCTTGGACCATGCTTTCAAAATTTATCATGCATAATCTGCCAAACAGTGCCAAAACAATTTCATAGCCTTCTTGTCGAAGGCAATAAGAACTTTCATGTTTTAATAATCACAAGAAAGTAGAAACTGTGTTTATCTTTATTGAGTCTGGGGAAACTTTAAAAATAAGATGAAGACATGACTAAAAACCTTGGTCGGCACCTTAAACCAGATCAACAGTGATCAAGAGCACAAGTTTAAAATTAAGAAAAAAAGTTGTGCATCTTACACTCCACTTTTCCTCCCCCAGGCTGTGTTCCCCTTGACCCCCAGCTGACCAGAAGTCTGGAGGAGGGACAGAGGTTTGTTGATGCCTTCCCCACATCTATTACAGCCCAGGCCATCGGGAGGGTCGCACAGACTCTTCTACAGAGGGAGGAACAGCAGGACTCCATGGATACATCATGATTGTAGAGAATTGTTTTAGTCAATTTAAATCCCTTAAGCACTGCAACCAAGTGGAGCACACGTTCTGTTGCAATGACTTGAATGACTTTCTAGGGGCATTCAGTAGCCTCCATAGCATTCCAAAAACTGGAGGGTTTGGGAGTCTTCATGGTCTTTGGGAGCTTTTATGTGCTATTTTCTGATTGCATATAGACAACATAGCCGGCCTGGTTGAATTACCCCCGTTTAAAGTGGGCGAATCAGAAAACAGCCGAAGACCACCAAACCCCCAGTTCTATATTAAAGCCTGCTACGGAGGCTAGCCTTAGAGTGTTTGTAAAATGTATTGTTACAATGACTGTTCTGCCTGCAAAGCAGTTGCCTTTAAAATTGTTGTAAAGGCAATTGAAGAAATGTGATACCTTACTTACCATTCTCAAAGTAGTTTGCCATCCATCACTACAAGAAGCACTAGTTTGTTATCAATTTTTCACTTCATAACTGAACCAAGAAGTGCAGGGACCTACACATTGGCTTATGTCATGTCTAAGTCACACATTTATTTAATGTGTTGTACAATGTTAATTTTGCACCTTTTAAGTCATGGAATTTGTCCATTGCAATAGATAGACATTCTTCAGAGAAATAAACTGAAGAGAACTACCTAAAGTATATTTTGTTTGGTAATGTGTCAATAGATTACTTGGATGGAAGTACACTTTAGAGTGAGTGAGTGAAGTGTTTATTTATGTAAAATTTTGCAGCCCTCTGGCTGAAATATGTTTCATCACGTTGAATTTAAGATACTTACAATTCGATGCCACACATAAATTGAAATATACATTTATGTTACATGTCTATACTAACGAATCTATCTTCTTCGAGTCATGTTTGTTTAGCATATTCATTAGTTTTACCAATGTATCAGATGATTATTAAAGGACAAATACAGTAATTTCAGTTAAGTTTTGGTGCCTTTCAACCGAAAACCCTATTTGCAAAAGGTGATCCATTGGTTTCTACTAAGTCCTGCACACATGTAGGGGTGATATTTCACCCAAATCCTTTTCTTCAAACCTATTACAATCTATTGATGGCTTCTTACAATCTATTAATACTGTAACAATAACTTTTAATGTTTTGTTTTCACGCGGATGTCTAAAATCAGCTGCGAACTAAAAGTACAAGTAATATCCCTATCATGATCGCAAGTATATCATGCCTCCAAGGCCCAGATTAGATAACACGTGTAGCATGTGGAGAAGTCATTGCCCCTCCCACATAAGTCTAGATCCTTCCAGAGAGTTCCCTTACTTCCGCATTCTGGGCGCGCCAACTCACCAACCAATCAGCTTCCGAGTTCGCCAATGACATCATCGCAACCAGCCAATCAGCACGCAGAGTTCTTCAGGTCAGCCTCACATGTCAACAAACCGGTCTGAGTGAAGCTTCGGCTCAAAATTCTCTGGGAATCTCTTTGATAGTAGAACGCTTTAGCCTGGGTACCATCCCCAGTAGTATATTCGCAAACTCTATAACTGGGTCTGGACTTGCACACATATGTAGCGTCTGGAGTCTAAATATTCGTTCAGATTTTGAACGAGCGCGCTGATTGGTCCTACTCGTCTACAGCCCTTTTTGGGTGTGTACATATTAGGTAAGGGCTGTTCGGACGTCCGAACGGCGACGTTAGCGTCCGTTCGAACGTCCGAACGCCTTATCATCAACATGTCCGACGGCGAACCGAACGCTAAAGCGCACATGATATAGCCGTAGTCAGTCTTTCCGCGATAAATCATCAACATGGCTGACGCACAAGCCGCTCAGCTCACGGAGGTTGATGTTGACCTCGCAATCACGTCCGTTTTGGACGATTTAGACGGAATATCGTCGCTCAAAAATGAGCAAAAAGATGCATTGAATAATTTCGTTCGTGATGTTTTGGGGGTCCTACCGGTAAAAAAAGAACGCGCCGAGAAAAGGAACACTCGCGCGAAGATCTGTGTTTACAAAACAACAAACATCACTTGAATAATACAGGCGCGCCATTCGCCGTCGCCTCTGAGGCTCAGCCAATCAAATGAAGCCCCGCTGCTCGGGCTAGCTCATTATGTGACGTCATGACCAATCGTTTTATATGTGTGCAAGTCCAGACCCAGTTATAGAGTTTGCGAATATACTACTGGGGATGGTACCCAGGCTAAGAACGCTTGGCAGTACGTTCTTCGATATGACAGCGGTATAGGGGGCTGTAAGGAAGATAAAGCTCGATCCTGTGCCATTTTCTAGGTAAGAATTGTTCGTCCTAATTTGGTTATATCAGCGGAGTAGCAGTGACCTGTTTAAACGTGACCATGGTTGTCGATCTGACACTGACCTAACTAGCTAGAAATTTCAATACCTCTTTTGTCTGAAATAAAATGATGTCGTGCCCCTGGTATGTTTTATGTGCCTCGATATTCTTCGTAGAATCAATATTATAACTGTTGAACTGTGACAAAAGGCGTAGAATCAATGTAAAATGATTTTGTGACCTAGGTCACAGGTCGGCATTGGCCGTTCTACGGAAAATAGGGTGTAACGTTAAACTTAGAGAAGCAGTTTTTCTATCGTCTTCTATTCCCACGTCCTATTTGTGATCATATTTTGCATATCGTAACGTTATACATGTGTATAATCTTTTAGGTCTTCCGTAGTTTCATGACACGACATAGCATCACGTACAATTTAGCACATAATTTTGGGAATGATAGAATTTACTGGAATCGTTCCACTAAACATTTCCTTCTGTCACGTTTTACCAGATGATATTTTTACCGACCGCGAGAATTCCACTTTTTCAAAATGCGTGGAGAAAGTCAGAGCATGAAGTAGCAACATTATACTCTAACTTGTTGTTATCTTTTCAATCTGAAACACTTTAGATTGTGTTGCTCAAAATTTAGATCACGACAAGATGCCTTGATCAGCACCAAGGACAGAGCTATTCTTAACCCCTGATATCATGACAGGGCAACATGTAACATAGTATATAAAATATTATATGTATGGTTTGATGCTTATAACATGATTTTTCAATGAGATCTTGGCTACTATTTGGCCACATAGGTTATATTAATATGTTTACCAAAGGCAAAACATATTATTTTTGCTCTGTTTCGTCTTCCCTTCCAAACACTGACCTCTGACCTGGTCAATGACCTGAACCAGACCTTCTCTAACCATGGTAACTAGTGTTGTGTTACATCATGTTGCAATTTTATTGTAGGAGGGATTTAGACTCCTGTCACCATATATGTACAATGTGCTTGAGTAAGAATTAACAGAGCACAATATGCAAAGGTAAACATTATGCATTTGCTTTGCAAATGTTACCTTTCTAGTTATCATACATAATTCAATGAGTAGTAATACACAGTCAGACTTTCAATCACTGTCATCAATGATAGTCAATACTATATATACATGTAATAACTCAGTTCTGTCTTCCCCAGTTGCCTTTTGGGACCACCTGCCCATGGAGTGGAGGAGTGTGCAGGTGACACAGGATGACCATGTTGGGGTGGTGAGGGGGACGGTACGATCACCATGTCGCAGTCTCCATGTCCTGGGGAACAGGGTCGTGCTCGTCACGGGCAAACAGGTCAGTCATTTCAAATGTTGAATTGTTGCAACACAGATGATAATTAGAAAAGTAACATTTGCAATTAGTAAATGCATAATGTTTACCTTCGCTTATATGGTCTGCTCTGTTACTTCTGTTACTCAAACACATTCATATTCATGGTCAGACAGGAGTGTAAATCCCTCCTGCTATAAAATTGCAACATGATGTAACCCAACACTAGTTACCATGGTGACAGACGTCTGGTCCAGAGCAAAAACAATGTTTTCCTTTGGTAAACATAACTACATGTAATTCCAGTAGGAACTATCAGTTCATAATGTTACTTGTAGTCTGTCTGACAGTTTTCAAAATCCATCCAATTGAGTAATGAAAAGATTCGATTATACAGCAAAATTTTCATAACATATTTTACTAAATGTTTGACTAATGATAATGTGTGCAAGTCTTTCATTTCCTGCTAACGTAACAGCATTTTGCTTGTTCTGAGAAGGTCCGATGTCTTGACCTTGATGAGGCGGCGCTACAAGGTCAGAAGGAAGTGTCCTGGAGATCTCTGGAGGTTGCCGGAGCGCCCCCTGTTGTCCTGAGCCCGAATTGCCCCAGCGTGAAGTTTGGAGACTTCATCATTTTCCTGAATGGGCACAGAGAGAGGATGTACCCCTGGGATGACCAGTATAAAGCTTCTGTCTTCATCCTGGACATGACTGACTCAGACAAGCCAAGATGGTGCCATCCTAAGGTTTGAAGTTTATTAAAAGACTTAAGGGCTTGAGTTGAAATGCATCCTCAACTAGTAAACATTTGCAAAGCAAATGCATGACGTGTTTACCTTCACACATTATCTGCTCTGTTAATTCTTACTCAAGCACATTCATGGTGACAGGAGTCTAAATCCCTCCTGCTATAAAATTGCAACATTATGTAACCCAACACCTGTTACCATGGTGACAGATGGTCTGGGTCAGGTCAGTGACCAGGTCAGTGATTGGAACAGAAGAAGAAAAAACAGAGCAGAAACGATGTTTTCCTTTGGTAAACATTATAAAATGTAACATGTTACAAAAGCAGAACTTTGAAACCTATGTCATCATGGGGTACAAATATAAAAAAAATACATATTTACAAGTAAGAATAAAACATGATCTAGTATTACTAGTAACAAGATCACAGACATAGAAGATGTTTGACTATGTCATTCATTCTAGTGGGACAGTCTGTTATTTTAAAGACGTGCATAGTGTAGAAAATTTGATCCCTGTGTACTCTTTGTGTTATAAGTATAACATTGTACATTGTACTATAGTTCAGAAACTGTTAGTCTAAGAAATGGCATAGCGTTTTCATCCTCCCTCATGATTTCTTCTGTCAATTTTCTAAGTAACTCAGTCACTTCTTATCTTTTACCAGACGTCCGGTGACATCCCCCGTAACTTTGAGGCAGTTTTCCTGTTGGACGAGTCAGCCAACAAGGCTTACACCTACCGCTGGAGTACCGGTCCCACCCGCCAGGGGCGCATCTGGACACTCGATCTAAAGACCTTCACATGGAGTAAAACTAAAACATCTGGTGATGAACCTGCACCAAGGTAGGATCTGCAATATTCTACTCAGATCCATCTCAAGCTCCTATATTGTTTAAAGTTAAAAGTTTTGGTCCAACACAAAAAATTCTCTCACCTACATGTAGAGCTTTCGACCAGTCACTCTGGTCTTCCTCAGTAGACTGACCCAGTGAAGCTTGTCACGTGGCTTCTTTGAAGTGTGACGTCAACACTGGGTCAAAGGTATTAGCTCATCTCCTATATTCTTTAATCTAATATCAGTGATGATAAATTTAGATATAGGTCTAGATGGAAAGAAAAGTGATCTTGAACCAGTTTTAGCTGAAGAGCTTATTAACATGTAATCTTCCATTGGTCGTGACAGAGAAGACAGACGCCACATATGTACAGTATTTACAAGGTTTATTGTACCAGGTAAATTTCCGTAGCTCTTTTTGACAAGCACAAAGAACGGTGGACCACAGCTTGATGTTCCATACTAAGGACTGTGACCCTTTCCAGTAGTGCATGTTGGGTGAGCGACAACAGCCGGGATTCAAACTCCCAACCTTTTTGTCTAGAGGCAGGATCGCTAACCACTAAACACATGCTACTCTAGTAGATGTTCTAGTGAATTGGTGAATTTATGTGCAAGTTTTACAATCAAGCAACTGTAAAGAATCTGAATTGTTCTGCAGATATGCTGTCAGCATCTGTGAACTGGATGGAAAAATGTTCTACATGTTTGGAAACACCAAGCAGATGCAGAATGACTTCTACACCCTGGATCTGAGCACTGGTAAGGTTTCATGTACCTTTTACCTCGTATCTACAACGTTTGATAATTGGTACTAGATTCCAATAGATATCAGCAAGTTCTTCTTCAGTTGTTAATTCATAGGACATAACAAATCTTGGTCAGACACTTGTAGAATCCATAGAAAGTTTTGCCCAGTATTAATAGTCATAGCCTCTTAGGTCTAAATTAAAAAATAAATTCCCAACACTTAAGCCTGATAGTTTAAGCTGACATTAAGTCAATCAGAGTAAAGTGACTCTTTATGCATAACAAAGTCTTTCATACAGCCAACATTTTGGTGACCACTGCTACAGATGCATTCCCAAACGTACAATAATATTATACAGGCTATAGTGCTGTGACACCTGTGCTGCAGTGCAATGTGAACCAGTCAGAATTGCCCTAAGGAAGGTGACAGATGGTCACCGAAACTTCGACTGAATAAAAGACTAAGTCTTGGTTGTGTAAAAAGAGTCTCTTTACTCAGTGACTTACCAACCTGATGAAACTAATCGCGGGGGTAAGTCAATTAGTCAGTCTTGAAATTTTTAAAAGATTACAAAATGCAGCATTTTGTCTTTTCCAAACACAAATGGAGGTCATTTCCTGCAACTTCAGTTCTACATTTTCTGTACAATTGCAGATGTATAAGGCAGGAGAAAGGTTCAAGATTAAAAAAAAAAGTTCTATTAGCACCCTAATTTTGAAAAAATTGGGCATAGGTTCCCCGGATGACCCCTAACCCATTGTAACCGGGGGCCAACGGTGCTTCCACAAGTTCAACAAGTGAAAAATACATGATACAAACTGTACATGTATTTACTACCTGGAACTTGGAGCAAGTTATTCCAAAGATGTACTTACTGACATTAATAAAAGTATATTAAAAACTAAACCAAATCCTATTTCCCAAACAAATCACATATTGACACAGCTGAACAAATAAAAATGTGATCATGTCTATAAACTCCACTCAAAAACAATTTTTGAGAGACACTCGGGTACTAAGCGTGATAATCTCTAATATCTCATCTGATTCTCCCAATGTAAAGGATCTTTACAATCACAGCATCCAACTGCACATACATAGAAACAACAATATTACACAAGAAACCAATAAATTCGGAAAATTTCTCAGTAATGTTTGAAAATTATTCTTATTAAAATATAAGTGAATTTTTATTTCAGTTGTAGCCGAAAAATATTTTTCATGCGTTTAAAGTATCGTTTTAGCACTGTAATATGTACTTAGTACATGTTTTATACATTTGGATGCTATCTTGACCTTTGACCACTGTTATTCTAAAAGCAGGTCGGCCATTTTGTCTTTCTCGCCGTGGCTTTTCGAGCCGTTTTTTCGAGCAAATTTTAACCATTTTAAACATTTTACGGCCTCAAAAACTCATACAACGAGGAAAACAAGTTGTAGTTGTTATTTTCATGCGTAACATTTCTTCTGGGGATGGTTTATTTTTCCGCCGAGCTGCCGAAAACTAGCGTCAAACCGCAACCATGCGGTTTCTTCGCGGCGGCCGGCGGGAGTTTTTGTATCGGAGCTTTCACGATGTAAACAAAGATAGTCGGAGTTGTTTATCTGAAAATTTTGTTGTGAAACGCCAGCGGGGTGTCAGATTTTCTACTAATGACAGCGTTTTCTTTGTGGCATCATGGCGAGATCGACAATTCATCGACAATTCACAGGAATTTGTGCCGACAATGGAATGAATTTTCCCGGAACTTTTCCGATTTTGAAAAAAGAAATAAACGTACCGTCTAAAATAAGAATGTACCGGGTGGATTTTGAGGCGAAAAAAAATAAACGTCCCGGTACGTCTATTAAAGAGTTCAGAGTAACTCAAGGTTGACTCGAACCTGCGCCGCTCGCGCTCACAACCAGCACACCAACCGATTCGGCCAAAAGGTCCAGAACCCATTGGGCCAATTGGGTAGTTACTAAGTAGTGGCGCCGCCTATGAACTCGCTGTTGCACAACAATCCCCAGGTGGCTGGGTGCCAGTCTATCTGAGAATTTGTACCTTGTCTCTGTACGTGTTGCACAGATAGGAATACTAGATATAGACCTCTGTGGGCCCAGCATCCCCAGGATGTTTGATGTAGAGGGACATGACGTCCACCAGATGGCTGGGTGCCAGTCTATCTCTGTACATTATCACCTTGTTTTTGTACATATTTTACAGGTAGGAATACTAGATATAGACCTCTGTGGCCCCAGCATCCCCAGGATGTTTGATGTGGAGGGACATGACGCCCACTAGATGGCTGGGTGCCAGTCTATTTCTGTACATTTTCACCTTGTTTCTATACAGGTTGGAATACTAGATATAGACCTCAGTGCATTCACAGGATGTTTGCTGTTGAGGGACATGATGTCCACAGTGCCCAGGTGGCTGGGTGCCAGTTTATCCCTGTACATTTTCACCTTGTTTCTGTATGTCTACAGGTAGGAATACTAGATATAGACCTCTGTGGCCCCAGCATCCCCAGGATGTTTGATGTGGAAGGACATGACGTGCACCAGTGCCCAGGCGGCTGGGTGCCAGTCTATCCAGACCAGGACCAGAGACTGGCCCTGATGTCCATCGGTTTCCTGCTACAGAACAGAGACGATGCTGTGGTCTGGAGAGGACCCAAGAAAAATGGTCAGGATTTTAAAATGCTGTAGTTCCCCATTTTTTATGTTTACCGAAGGAAAACATATTGTTTTTGCTCTGTTTCCTCTTCTTCCGTTCCACACACAAAAAGTCAATGACCAGAACCAGACGTCTGTCACCATGGTAACTGGTGTTGGGTAACATCATGCTAGTTCCGTGGACACCTTCCTTTTTCTCAAACCTCAGAACTTTTGCTACCATGAATATAAACATAAAGTGAATTAAAATGTTCTTCCAAAATCTTCCTTCTTTGTCCTTTTGCTATTTTAGGATATCTTGAATAGTATCTACATAATATGCAATTTTTTTTTCTCACAGCGATGATCAAGCAGTTTATAGGAGATGTGGTATGGGGAGACTTGGACTACCTCATCATAGACACACCCCCTGGTGAGTATTTTTGAGTTGATTCCGAACCAGAATCTTTTTTTTTTTGAAATCAGTAAAAAATGAAAAGGCGAATCCGAGAACCAACAAGTTGAATTTGTGTGGCCTAATGGTAACTATCTGGCAAATGGATACAGCCTTGCCAATAGACCCATTCGACTTTCACAGATCGCATAATCTGCTTCACAGGGGGGACATTTCGAAAGAACGTCATTCTAGAACGCTGAAGTCGAACGGAGCTTGCGCTCTCGGTGTCCCCCCTGGTAGATCATTTTTTTACTAAAAGGTAGGTAAGTGTCTATTTTCTTGGAAATATATGCGGAAATGACAGGAAAAACAGGCACCAACTTTGTATGGTGGCATTCCGTACAACAATTTAAGGTTATTTTGTTCTGTGACGCATGCAGTCACATGTGAAAGGAACTTTCGAAATGTCCCCCCTGTGACGTAGTTTCTATTCGAAATATCCCCCCTGTGACGTAAGCAGTTAATGCGATCCGTGAAAGTCGAATGGGTCTATTTGATACTGTCTTTGCAGCCACCAAAACACCTGCTTGGAGATCAATGTGTAATCCTGACTGTCTGTCTGTAAAACATGAGATCGTATCATCCTGAATGTCTATCATGAAAGTTGGTAGTTACATTTCATTTAAGTAAAACTTTTTTCCAACACAAAAAGGTGTTGGAACAAAAGTGTTCTCACCTACCTTATAACAACTAAGTTTTACCTAAAAACAAACTGAATTTGTTTGTAGGCACCTCGGATGAACACATTTCAGTAGTAGAGAACGTGAGACCGTACCATCCCGACGGTGCCGTCCTGGTGACCACGCCCCAGGGCGTGGCGGTGGGGGACGTGAGACGAGAGCTGACATTCTGCAGGAAGACCAAACTGCCCGTCCTGGGGGTCATCGAGAACATGAGCGGATTTGTGTGTCCACATTGTACAGTAAGTCTTCTGGGTAGTCTGTTTACATGAGCAGGATCTGTATAGAAAATTCAGGTTCAGGTCCGGATCAGGTTTAGAGGATCAGGTCCAGGTCTGGACCTAAACCTGATTATTGTACAGTAGCACTATATCATATTTTGGAGCGTGAAACACGAGTACAGGTCGCTCACTAGTGAGTTATATATTATTTTCAAGTTGTACTAGGCACTGTATGTAATGATTGCTATGTATATTGTATATTGAAGCTGAACACAGTTACAGGAAGAGACAAACATGGATTTAGGCCAATCTAGTTTGATTCAGGGTTATTTTCTTTACCTGCCGTGGCCAGATTATCTAAAGATGTGTGTACAATCTACAAAAATGTACATTAGGTCCAATGATCCAGTTTTCATGTTCGGTTTTTTTGGACTCGATTTTCGGAATGTCATTCTGGTTTAAACCGGTCCGTCTGAACTGGTACCCATCCCTAAGTAGGATACTATTGTGAAAGTTCGTCTGTATTGGTAGTTATTACATGTTTAAAGTTTAAACATTTCTTCCAACACAAAAGATTATTCAGACAACTAGAGCTTTCGACCAGTCACTCTGGTCTTCCTCAGTAGACTGAGCCAGTAGAGGCTTGTCACGTGGCTTCTTTGAAGTGTGACGTCAACACTGGGTCAAAGGTTTTAACTTTAGAATAGAACACATGAAAGAACAAATGATGGTTAGATGGATTTCCAGGAGTGGGATATACTTTTGCTGGCTCCTACCTGACCTGTTGCCTAGATATTCATGAGTTTGAACATTTCATGCTGAATGTATGTTCAACTTGTCAGAAGTTTGATAAGAATCTCTCTACCCTACAGGAATGCACCAATGTGTTCTCAAAAGGGGGAGGTGAAGCTTTAGCCAACCAGTTCAATGTTCCATTTCTAGGTGAGTAAAGTGAAATTTTTTCCTTGGTGCTGAATCTGCACTCTAGGCATCTGGTATCTGTTCTTGGGTAAAAAAATCAGGTTGGGAACGCCAATCTTGTGAAACTATATTGTGCCCTTGTAGTGTGACACTGTGAGTGAGTGAGTGAGTACATGTTGTATTCTGACTGCCTCTGGAAGCTGTGTCACTGTAATTTATCTAGAAAACTAGAGTTCGGAGGGCTCGTGCCTTCGACAGTGTGATATTGTTTTGGTGGGTGTTGTGTGCGTGTAAAGTATAGTGTATCTTGACAATGCCTATCACTAAGACAACCTGGCTGCCAAAAATCGTGAACCTTGGACCATGCCTTCAAAATTTATCATGCATAATCTGCCAAACAGTGCCAAAACAATTTCATAGCCTTCTTGTCGAAGGCAATAAGAACTTTCATGTTTTAATAATCACAAGAAAGTAGAAACTGTGTTTATCTTTATTGAGTCTGGGGAAACTTTAAAAATAAGATGAAGACATGACTAAAAACCTTGGTCGGCACCTTAAACCAGATCAACAGTGATCAAGAGCACAAGTTTAAAATGAAGAAAAAAAGTTGTGCATCTTACACTCCACTTTTCCTCCCCCAGGCTGTGTTCCCCTGGACCCCCAGCTCACCAGAAGTCTGGAGGAGGGACAGAGGTTTGTTGATGCCTTCCCCACGTCTACCACAGCCCAGGCCATCGGGAGGGTCACACAGACTCTTCTACAGAGGGAGGAACAACAGGACGACATGGATACATCATGATTGTAGAGAAACGTTTTAGTTGTTTAAATCCCTTTAGCACTGCAACCAAGTGACCTGCCAGTGACTTGAAATGGAACATGCAAACTTCTGTTCAAATGACTGCCAGTTTTGTTCAGTGGTTAGGCCACACCAAGTAAATTTTATGGATGACATCCGCGCGCGCATTGATTTTGGCCTGTTCCTAGAAAAAAAAACAAGAAATTCTGCTTCCTGTAACTATGACCAAAGAGTCACGACAGTGCCGCAAATCGTCAGATTGACGTGAAACCCATAACGCAAAAACAGGACAGGACGACAACTGCTGTTCCACCTGATTTATTGCTGTTTTGATGATGAATAAAAGACTTCTTGCTTGTTACACTGTGTCACCTCATTCAATTTGTGTCCTAACATTTGTCGTCTCTTAGTATATTTCTAATCTAGGCATCTTGTTTTTTAGCCCGGCCCTTCTTGTTTTTTTTTCGCCCTCTCGCATTAGATTTAGGGTCTCCAAAGGACGTCATCCATAAAATTTACTTGGTGTGGCCTTATAACAAGTTAACAGACTTTCTAGGGGCATCCACCTTAGAGTATATTTTGCAAAATTTTTACAATGACTGTTCTACCTGCAGAGTAGTTCAGTAGTTGCCTTTGGAATATTGTTGTTAAGGCAATTATAGTGAAGAAATGTGATGCCTTACTTACCATTCTCAAAGTAGTTTGCCATCCACTAGTTTGTCATCAATCTGTCACTTCATAACTGAACCAAGAAATGCAGGGACCTACACATTGGCTTATGTCATGTCTAAGTCACACATTTATTTAATGTGTTGTACAATGTTAATTTTGCACCTATTAAGTCATGGAATTTGTCCATTGCAATATTCTTCAGAGAAATAAACTGAAGAGAACTAACCTTATCTATTGTCTGGTAATGTGTCAATATTTACAGATATACTAAGATGAAAGTACACTCTACAGTTTATGTTGTGCAATATGGTAGAAATGAAAATCATATGGTCAGGAATGTAAATTTCATTCTTCGGGTCATATTTGTCTAGTGGTACCAATGTAGCAGTTAACCAGTAAAGGTCCTTGGAGACTTTATAAAGTTTACCTTTGGCAGAAGGAAAACATTGGTTTTGCTCTGTTTCTTCTTCCTCTTCTTGTTCTCCAAAGAAATAGGTCAATGACCTGAACCAGACTGTCACCATGGTAACTAGTGCTGGGTTACATCGTGTTGCAATTTTATTGTAGGAGGGATTTAGACTCCTGTCACCATATAATGATATATATGAATGTATTTTATTCCCAGTAGCCTTTTAGACACTATTATTGTTCCCGTCGTAAAAAACAAATCTGGCAACATCTCTTGTACTGACAATTATAGACCAATTGCGATCACTTCGGCATTATCGAAAGTCCTAGAGGCACTCCTGCTTAATCGTCTGAAGCCTTTTCTTCTGACGTCTGATTCCCAATTTGGCTTTAAACCTAAACATGGGACTGACATGTGTGTTTTTATGTTAAAGCAAATTATCGAGTACTACAGGGGCTTAGGGTCCCCTGTCTTTGTGTGCTTTATGGATGCCTCTAAGGCCTTTGATCGCGTAAACCACTGGACACTGTTTAGAAAGTTGATCGACAGAAATGTTCCGCTATATCTAGTTCGATTCTTGGTTTCCTGGTATACGAATCAAAGAATGTTTGTGAGATGGGGTACAGTCCTTTCACCGAGCTTCTCCGTTACTAACGGAGTACGACAGGGTAGTTTATTGTCCCCATATCTTTTTAATGTATACATAGATGATTTGAGTGTAAGCTTAAACAATGCCAAGGTGGGCTGTTATGTAGGTGGGTCCATCACCAACCACCTGTTTTATGCCGACGACTTATGTCTGATTTGCCCTAGCATTAAATCTCTACAGAGATTGGTTGGGATTTGTGAAGTGGTTGGCCATGGTAATGACATATTGTTTAATACTAATAAGACTTTCTGTATGTATTTCCCATGTACTCGTTTGCCACTTCAGCTTCCATTGCCATCTGTAAGTCTATACGGTACCAACCTGAAGTACGTAAACTCATTTGTCTATTTGGGTATACATCTAAATACCACATTAAGTGACGATGATTGTGTACTTGCTATGCTGAAGAGTCTTTATAGTCGTGCTAACAGTATCAACCGCAAATTTTTCTGTTGCTCTCCATCTGTTAAGAGACACCTGTTCATGACGTATTGCGCCCAGCTATATGGCGCTCAGTTATGGAGCTCTGTAAGCTCTGGTGTTTTGTATAAGTGCAGAGTGGCTTATAACAATTGTTTTAGAATCATAATGAATCTGCCTCGGCGTTGCAGCGCGAGTGAAATGTTTGTCTGTAACTATATTGACACTTTTGAAACCAGGAGGAGGAGAATTTGTTATTCTTTTCTAAAAAGGTTATTTTCCTCCAATAACGCAACAATCTGTCGCTTAATTCATTCCGATGCCTTCTACAGGAATTCATTCTTTCGGAAGACCTACTGTTTGTTATGCTTTTAGGTTTCTTCCTGTTTTACTTGTATGTCTGTAGTGTTTTTTTGTATTATTTTAATGATGTATTGTACATGTTATATGGGTTTTTTACCTGAAATAAAGAATGAATGTAATGAATGTAAGTAAGAATCAACAGAGCAGACCAGTAAAGGTAAACATTATGCTTATTATTGTGTTAATCTTTTTTTCTCCCAAATAAATCATAAGCACAATATTATTACTTTGTATTAACGCGGATGGCTAGAATGAGCTTTAAATTGAAGTAATATCCCTATCAAGATGGCAAGTATATCATATCCAAGGCTACAGAGATTAGATAACACATGGAGAAGTCATTGCCCCTCCCACATAAGTCTAGATCCTTCCAGAGAGTTCCCTTACTTCCGCATTCTGGGCGCGCCAACTCCCCAACCAATCAGCCCCCGAGTATGGTAATGACATCATCGCCATCAGCCAATCAGCGCGCAGAAATCTTCAGGTCAGCCTCACATGTCAACAAACCGGTCTGAGTGAAGCTTCGGCTCAAAATTCTCTGGAAATCTCTTTGATAGTAGAACGCTTGGCAGTACGTTCTTCGATATGACAGCGGTATAGGGGGCTGTAAGGAAGATAAAGCTCGATCCTGTGCCATTTTCTAGGTAAGAATTTTTCGTCCTAATTTGGTTATATCAGCGGAGTAGCAGTGACCTGTTAAACGTGACCATGGTTGTCGATCTGACACTGACCTAACTAGCTAGAAATTTCAATACCTCTTTTGTCTGAAATAAAATGATGTCGTGCCCCTGGTATGTTTTATGTGCCTCGATATTCTTCGTAGAACCAATATTATAACTGTTGAACAGTGACAGAAGGCCTGGAGTCAATGGGTAACATGATTTTGTATTTTGTGACCTAGGTCACTTACGCGGGCATCGCACCTTCTAGGAAAAATTGACCGTGTGTAACGTTTACGGTTAGAACTCAGAGAAGCAGTTTTTTCTATTCCCAAGTCACACCTGTGGTCGTATTTTGCGTCTCGTCTATAATCTGTAAGATTTTCCATAGTTTCATGACATGACATCACGTCCAAAGCACATGTGGAATGACAGAATTTGTTGGAATCGTTCCACTCACTCAGCAGCGTTTCCTTCTGAAGTTCTGTCAATATATTCCAGATGATATTTTTACCGATCGCGAGAATTCGACTTTTTCAAAATGTGTGGAAAAAGTCAGAGGTTGAAGTAGCAACATTATACTCTAGCTTGTTGTTATCTTTTAACAGTTTAGAATGTATTGCTCAAAAACTAGATCACGGCAAGATTCCTTGATCAGCACCAAGGACAGAGCTGTTCTTAACCTCTGATCTCATGACAGGGCAAACCATGGTAACTAGTGTTGGATTACATCATGTTGTAATTTTATAGCAGGAGGGATTTAGACTCCTGTCACCATAAAATTTCTATATTCAATTATGCATTTGCTTTGCAAATGTTACTTTAATTTCTAGTTATCATACATAATTCAATACACAGACTTTCAATCACTGTCATCAATGATAGTCAATATAATATATAATAACTCAGTTCTGTCTTCCACAGTTGACTGTTGGGACCGTCTGACCACCTGCCCATGGAGTGGAGAAGTGTGCAGGTGAGGCAGGATGACCATGTTGGAGTGGTGAGGGGGACGGTACGCTCACCATGTCGCAGTCTTCATGTCCTGGGGAGCAGGGTCATCCTTGTCACGGGCAAACAGGTCAGTGATTTCAAATGTTGAATTGTTGTTTTAAGCAACACAGAGGATAACTAGAAAGGTAACATTTGCAAAGCAAATGCATAATGTTTACCTTCACATATGGTCTGCTCTGTTACTTCTGTTACTCAAACACATTCATGACAGGAGTCTAAATCCCTCCTGCTATAAAACTGCAACATGATGTAACCCAACACTAGTTACCATGGTGACAGACAACTGGTTCAGGTCGTTGACCTTATTGGTTTGGAGAAGAAGAGGAAACAGAGCAAAAACAATATGATTTCCTTCGGTAAACATAACTAATTGCAGTAACAACTATCATTTCATATGTTGCTATAGCTAGTATCAAACTTCATTCTTTGGTGCTAATATGCAGTGCTTAATTAAAAGATTAAAGAAAAGGTTTGTGGATGAAGGTTAATTATCTAGATAATGAGATATACAAGTATATTGGTACTCAATGCAAGCAGTTGGATAGATTTTGAAAACTATCAGACATGTCACTGATGAAAAGTTACTGTAGTAACAGGATGCTACTTCAATGAAACCAAAAAGTATTGGATGGTACTTGAAACGTCTGACAGTTTTCAAAATCTATCCAGTTGAGTAATGAAAACGAAACAGCAGAATTTTCATATACATATTTTGCTTAATGTTTGACCATTACAATGTGTGTACAAGTGTTTCATTTCCTGCTAATGTAACAGTACTTTGCTTGTTCTGAGAAGGTCCGATGTCTTGACCTTGATGAAGCAGCGCTACAAGGTCAGAAGGAAGTGTCCTGGAGATCTCTGGAGGTTGCCGGAGCGCCCCCTGTTGTCCTGAGCCCGAATTGCCCCAGCATGAAGTTTGGAGACTACATCATTTTCCTGAACGGGCACAGAGAGAGGATGTACCCATGGGATGACCAGTACAAGGCCTCTGTCTTCATCCTGGACATGACTGACTCAGACAAGCCCAGATGGTGCCATCCTAAGGTTTGAAGATCATTATTAAAAGACTTAAGGGCTTGAGTTGAAATGCATCCTTAACTTAAGTAAACAAATGCATAATGTTTACCTTCGCACATGGTCTGCTCAGTTAATTCATACTCAAACACATTCATATATGATGACAGGAGTCTAAATCCTTCCTACTATAGAATTGCAACATGATGTAACCCAACACCTGTTACCATGGTGACAGACGGTCTGGGTCAGGTCAGTGACCAGGTCAGTGATTGGAACGGAAGAAGAAAAAACAGAGCAGAAACAATGTTTTCCTTTGGTAAACATTATAAAATGTAACATGTTACAAAAGCAGAAATTTGAAATCTATGTCATCATGGGGTACAAATATAAAAAAATACATACATGTATTTACAAGTAAGAAAAAAACATGATCTAGTATTACTAGTAACAAGATCACAGGCATAGAAGATGTTTGACTATGTCATTCAGTCTTGTGTGACTGTGTTACTCTTTGTGTTGGAATAAAGTTTAGCATTGTACATTGTACTATAGTTCAGAAACTGTTAGTCTAAGAAATGGCATCAGCATTTTCGTTCTTCATGATTATTTACTTCTTTACCTAATTTACCAGACGTCCGGTGACATCCCCCGTAACTTTGAGGCAGTTTTCCTGTTGGACGAGTCAGCCAACAAGGCTCACACCTACCGCTGGAGTACTGGTCCTACCCGCCAGGGGCGCCTCTGGACGCTGGATCTGAAGACCTTCACTTGGAGTAAAACTAAAACCTCTGGTGATGAACCAGCACCAAGGTAGATAGGTTCTGCAATATTCAACTCATATCTCCTACATTGTATGTTCTGTTACAGTAGTTCAATGGTTATATTGTAGTGGCATATATTGTAAGCTATTAAGTAAATAGTGTGTGGTTGTTACATTGTAGTGTTGTATAGTGTAATTATAGTACATGTATGTGGTATTTATCATGATGTTATTTTGATGTACAGGACTCCTAGAAGAACTACTACTAGTAAGGAAGTGTTGTTTTCACTAATGGAGTTCCTAATAAACATAAACATAAACAATCAAGCATCATCAGTGCTGATAAACTGATCTAGATCTAGATGGAAAGGACACTGATCTCGATCCAGTTTTAGCTCACTGAAGTGCTAATCTTCCACTGGTCGTGACAGAGAAGACAGACGCCACGTATGTGCAGTATTAACAGGATCATAGTACCAATTGAAAGAAATTCCCTTATTGACAAGCACAATGAACAGTGGACCACAGCTTAATGTTCAGTACTAAGGACTGTGACCCTTTCCAGAAGTGTGCATGCATATGTGGGGTGAGCAACAACAGCCGGGATTCAAACTCCCAACCTCTAGAGGCAGGGTCACTAACCACTAAACACATGATACTCTAGTAGATGTTCTAGTGAATTGGTGAATTTTTGTGCAAGTTTTACAACTGTAAAAAATCTTAATTGTTCCAGATATGCTGTCAGCATCTGTGAACTGGATGGAAAAATGTTCTACATGTTTGGAAACACCAAGCAGATGCAGAATGACTTCTACACCCTGGATCTGAGCACTGGTAAGGTTTCATGTACCTTTCACCTCATATCTACAACCGTTGATAATCAGTAGTGACTACATTCCAATAAATATCAGCAATGCTTTCTTCAGTTGTTAATTCATAGGACATAAGAAATCTCAGTCATACTTGTAGAATCCATAGAAAGTTTTGCCTTAGTAGTATATAATAGCCACAGCCTCTTTAGTCTTAATTTTAAAAATTCCCAACACTTGTTAAGCCTAATAGCTGACATTAAGTCAATTAGATATTATTGAAATTGTCAAAAGCATCTGATTCTTTCCTGCTTGTCTTGTATTTGGTACACGAGTTCGATCACCGGCCAAGTCATACCAATTTTAAAAGACTTTAAAAATGGTAGTACATACTGCTTTCTCTGCTATAGCACCCAAAAATGGTACATACTGCTTTCTCTGCTATATAATTTAGCACTCAGCAATTGAGAAAAGAGTATGGGAGTTAAATTGACACACCAGTACCATGCCAATGGTTGCAGGGCAGACTTTAACTTTTTTCAAAAACTTGTCTGCAGGTCAGTGGCAGAAAGGCAACCCAAGCGGCTCACTTCCTGATCCATGTAACGGTGCAGGTGCAGTCGTAGACCCTGTCACTAAACACATCTACATCATAAGTGGCCACTTCGGTCAAGACTGTGACCAAGTACGCGTCCTGGATGCCTCCAATTCCGAGAAGTACATCTGGTCTAAAGCACAATCCAAAGGCCAAGCCGCGGACGGCAGGTCGGACCTAGTGAACTCCTTCTGTGCGATCGGTTACCACGACAAAACCAAGCAGAGCTTTCTCGTCCAACTTGGCGGCTTCAGCGGCAGAACCATGAAGGAAACGTCTGATGTTTTCGCTGTCTTCCCTTTCAAGGCTTCGTACATCGAAAGCAACGCTCCAATCCTCCATTTGAAAGGCAAGGACATTGCTCAAGGGAACCAAGAGGGTGATCATCGGATATCTGTCCATGTGCCGTCTTCGGTGGACGATCATCTGGCGGCAGCCCTCCCTCTTCCAGTCATCAGAAAGCTGGCAGAGATCAGTGGTGTCACGGACACGAAGTCCTCCATCAGGAAAGATGTGTTTCTGGCTGTTAGAGAACAGGTATTTACCATGCTCATGTGACTGTTGAGATTTCAAACTACTCCCTGCTATCTGACCTAAATGTACATTGCCAAAAGGCTTAATCTAAGCAGGTAAGGCTTTATATACTATACACTAATAGGTACATGCACATGTATCAAATATTAAGTCGAAATGTTCAGAGCATTCAGCTCAGAACTGAAAGGTCCCGGGTTCGATCCCCAGACATGTTGGATGTTGTGCCCTTGGGAAAGGTCCTTATACCCCTTGTCCTGCGGAGCACAACAATTGTTGTTCTGCACATACAGTACCATCTACATGTACAATGTATTATAACACCGGGCTGTATACTATATTAGGTACGATTTGGGGGTATTTCTTGTGCAACGCATCACACCGCAGCGAAACCCAACAAATGTGGAAGTAACTATATGCTACTGCAGGCCAAAAAATTTGGTGGTCTATGATCTAATTAAGTCACATGAAATTATTGAAAAATATTGTGCCAGGAATGCCAGCAGGACATTAAACACGACTTTCCTCACTGTACAGTGGAGTGATGCCCACCGGGCCTTTTGGCTAATTGTCTGAATACTGTGTCCAAACGCTCAGTCAAATTTGGTGTTGCATGTGACAAAATCTGCACATTTGCCACGAAGAACCGTACAATTTTTTTTTTGCAGGTTTCGGACTTTCTGAACGACATTGTTCCACGTGCCCTGGAACATCACAGGGAGTTACTTGATGATGACAATCGTCAGGATGAGGACTTAGATGACTGGGAACAGGAGAGTCAGGTAGACAACTACATATCACCAGAGGTTAGTACCTGAGGGAACTATGTACCATTGTACAACATTTGCAGTGATCATTTACAATTATCTTCTTTGTTCTATGTCGAGTGGTATAAGTTCTGTCACAAATGATGTAATCGATGCCTTTCTTTAGATGTTTAAAGTTAAAAACTTTTGTTCCAACACAAATAATTGTTCTCAGAAGTGTGACATCAACACTGAGTGATAGCCTCATGGTCTCACTGTGCTGGAACAAAACTTTAAGTTTAAACATGTACTTTTAGTAAGGCCACAGCAAGTAAATTTTATGGATGGCATCCTCCGCAGACTTCAAATCTAATGTGATAGGGAAAAAAAACAAGGTTCCTACATTTTCAAATTGTGACATAATAAATCTTGTTAAACAAGAAATGATACCTACATGTCTATTCTATTGTGTCAAGTTTACTGCCAACTATTACAGCATCCATTTGTCAGTCAACTTTGAAAAGTTTTCAATCATTGTACAATTTATGGTTTTGATTCAGTGGAAACACGTACAAAAGGAATGAAATACACTGCTGCATCAATAATTTAATAGTAAAAGACAATAAATCAGAGCGTTTTCTTGTCTCCTCTCTTCATATTCATCTACCATATGCATCCACATTCCAGCATACATGTAGCTACTGACATCATTGCCCATTTTGGTATGTTGACCACATTCAGAAGGCAACAAAATTTCTTGTTTTTTTTCCAAAATCAGGCGAAAATCAATGCGCGCGCTGATGTCATCCATAAAAATTACTTGCTGTGGCCTAACTACCAACACAAACTTTCATGGCCTTTCTTTAGATGTTTCATGCTATTTTATCCATGATGTACCTCACCTGTCTACCATATTGTATAAGCTGTGTATTTGGCAGGAGTACCTGACTACCCGGAGGACAGACCTGAGTGTGTGTTCCATCCTGGCAGCGCTGCAAGACTTCAGCCAGGACAGAGGTGACCTCCTTAAGGAACTGACCGGCAGCCTGACTGTTGAGAGGGTACAGAAGAGGATCGTGTATGAAGTCGTCCACGTGACGTATGATTCCGGGGAGTCACCTGAATTTGACCATGAGTCTATCAGGTATAACAACACTTGGTCATTAGCACGAAAGTTCATCTGAGTTGGTAATCTACGTAGTGATAAATTCAAAAACTGTTCTCCAACTCAAATAAATTACACTCACCAAAATTTTCGATCAAATTTTTCGGTCTTCATCAGGCCACACCAATTTAATTTCTTGGTTAACAGATTTTTCTAGAAAAATAATGGAGCAGGCGAGCTAAAAAAATGAAAATAAAAACAGGCCTAGGCATCCTATTATAGCCCCAAATGCTACGATAGGAGCCATGAAGTCAACACAAAAGGCTGGATTAATATTTAAACTATATTTCTGAGCTTTTAATCAAACCACTGCATTGATAAATGGAAAAAAAATAGGCAGGACTTTCCTCAACTGTAGGGGGCAAAATATGATCATATTTGAATTGTCAGAACCAGAATCTTTTTTTTTTTGGAAGAGACAAATCCGAGAACCAACTAATTAAATTCATGTGGCCTTAGCTTTGTTTGATCCTAGTTGTAGAGACCATATGTATGTCAATCCCTTTACTTTTGTCGAGTCAATTAAAAAAGAATCTAGAAGACATGCTGAATGTATTATTCCCTCCTGTAGGTCTGAACCCAGTAACATGGACTCTTCCTTTGTGCGTTACATGAGTGATGGTGAGGAGAGTAACCCTGGTGAGTGGTGTAACCGTGTGGAGAGGGCCGTCAGCAGGCTGGAGGTGGCCAGGTCCATGTCTGAGGAGTTCTGTTTCCTCTATGGAAGGTAAGTTACATACATGAGTGATGGTGAGGAGTGAGTAACCCTGGTGAGTGGTGTAACCGTGTGGAGAGGGCCGTCAGCAGGCTGGAGATGGCCAGGTCCATGTCTGAGGAGTTCTGTTTCCTCTATGGAAGGTAAGTTACATACATGAGTGATGGTGAGGAGAGTAACCCTGGTGAGTGGTGTAACCGTGTGGAGAGGGCCGTCAGCAGGCTGGAGGTGGCCAGGTCCATGTCTGAGGAGTTCTGTTTCCTCTATGGAAGGTAAGTATCAAGATGACACTAATAAAATAATTCGTCTTGGCTCTAAAAAATTAATGTGATTTGTGAATTTGGATTTAGTAATTGACGTAACAGTTATTAAGTACAGAATATCAAATGGACAATGGCTGTTAATTACTGAAATTCACAATTTTCAAATTGCGTTTTTTACGCTCAGTTCTATACCGTGAACTTACCATTTACATGTACCATGAACAAATAGTTTGCCAACTTTCTTTTTACTGTACCTGCTGCCACTGTCAATTTTTCTCAGACTGGAACTTTTGCTTATGCGAATAAAAATAAAATACAGTATTCCTATCAAGACTTTTAGTTAAATTTCAGTCATACCAGAAAGTGGACCAAAATCTACAATGTACTTAAAAACCAACGCTGGAATGGACCTATCACATTATTACGTCACAGTTTGTTTATAAAGATCATTTCAAAGTCTCTTTGATTTTTGCTGCATCTAGTTTTTTTGACACAGCATTACATGCCGTAATGGCGATTTAGTTGGCTTAACGCTACACAAACACACACGGCGCTACGCACCCCTGTATAATATAAACGTCAATTGACCGGCATTCATTGCGGTAAACAAACTGTGACGTAACAATGTGATAGGTCCATTGTACTGACTTCCCTGTACATGTATACCTGTGCAGACCTGATGCCTTCCACCATGTGGTGTGTTACATCCTGTATGAGTGGGGGTTCTGTGACAGGATCACCAAGACGGCACAGTTCCTCCTACAGAGGGCAGCCGAGTTCTTTGTCTGTGTCTTGTTCTCACAGACAGTAGCAGCTCTTGACAGGTATTCGCAATAGTTACTCAGGGGTCGAAATACCCCTCTGTGTGCAACTTGGTGCAAGTAAATTTTGTGTCCTGCAACTATTTTTTGCTTTATCCGCTGTTACAACCTGTAGAAATACCCAATAAAGAACTGTAAAGGGAACAAATTTTGTTCAACAAAACCAGAATCCATGTAGTTTTCCTTCATTTTTTGTAATTAATAGAGGTTATGTCGCTTTAGTAGGTTAGTAGTGTAAGCAAATATTGGATGCTATTAAAGTTACTACATGTACTTTTGGTTGTGTTCCTATTACTTTTGGGGGGTGCAACTATTTTTTTTTCCATCTGCACCAGTGCAAGTTGGCCCCAAAATGTATTTCGACCCCTGCTTACTGTTAGTACAAGGGGGCTTGATACCTTTTCTTTGTTAAGCCACAACAGTGCCTTACATTTTGTAGTTCCTACAATGAATACAAGGTATAGGGCAGATTTGAATTCCAATTCTCCCACAGGACAATTCCAGATTACCCTGGATTCCAATCTCCTCTGACATCCAAAATTCAAAATTGTTGTACCCAGAAAGTTCTGTTGTTTGATTCCTTTTTTTGTAAAAGTAAGTTGATTTCTCAGAAAGTGATATTATTGTGTTAAGCAGGCTACTATTAACAGAATTTGTGGAATACATATATTTGACAGTCTGACTCATATTTGCTCAAACATGATGTAGGCCCTAAATTCTAACTTGTTACAATGCTGTAATGCAAATGTTTCAGTGAGTCTGTTATCTGATAAAACTTGTTTCCTTTCCCTACATGGTTGATTTCTGACAAAGTGTACATAATATATATGTATTTCTATGGCTCTATTGTCCTACAGGGGAGACATCAAGGCAGATGTTCTGACACCTGATGTGATCCAGTGGGTGTTTGTGGAGCTGCCAAGTGCACCTGCACTGACTGTCTCAGATGCCACGACACCTGGAGACAACGATGACAACTTAGAGCAGTAGATGTATTCCAGATTACACGATATTTGTTCTCCATAACATTAAACATTACATGTTTACATCTAAGGCCACACCAATTTAATTTTTTGTTTCTCGGATTCGCCCTATCCAATTTTTTCTGATTTGAAAAAAAAATGTTTGCTTCTAAATCAACTGCAAAATACTCAAAGACACATTTTGGCCCCAAGGGTTGCAAAAAGTCCATTTCTACCTAGATGCAATGTACCTAGTACCTGCAATGTAACAATGCAATTTTGTTTCATTAAAAGTTCAAAATCTATTGTTTTATAATTAATTCATAGTGCATAGTTATAAGTTTGCTTGGCAGAATAAAATCACAGTAACATTTGTTGAGGCATAACTCTAGGCAATGTTCTTATGTTCTTGCAAGCATTTTCATGTTCTGATTACGAATTAACAGTTGAGAATAAGGCATATTTTTATCTGCTTATTAATTGCTGTAAGCTTTGTATAAATCGTGGTTATATTTTTACTGTTATTATGATGTGGCCAGGGAACCTTAAGCAATGGGCAATGTACCACATGTATGGAAATGCCTTTTAAACTATTAAAGGGATGTGCAAATTAATGTATTACTTTAGTTGCAATGACTATCACTGACAATACATTTATCTGCCTTTTATTGATAAGTTTTTCATCACTTTCTACTGTAATCTGTATTGTTTCTGGTACAAGGTATGACAGTTTCATGGTTGTAAGTTTAGGATTGTTCTTCAGTGGGTATCCAATTGGGAGTCTGAAAACAAGAAATCATAAACAGCTGTATCCAGTAAAAGCTTCTAACAGCGAGCAGATTATTATTGGAATGAGCAGAGCACTTTGGACTAATGCCTCTGACCGTTTACAGCTTAGAGGTACATATCCAATATTTTGTCAAAAACTTCTCTGTTACATAGCGGATCATAATGACCCCCAGTGGGGGTCTTCACGCTTCGTTAAAAATTGAAAAATCTCAATATTTTAGACGAAATCTTGAGATCTTATGAGACAATATTGAGATTTTTTTATGACAATCTCCAGATCTTTCAGAAAATCTTGAGATAAAAACAAAAGGTCTCAAGATCTTTCCAAATGTTTTCAAAGTATCTTGAGATTTTTCCATAGCATCTGGAGATGCTTCAAGAAATATCAAGATTTTTAAAGCAATCTTGAAAAAACGTGAGATCTTTTAAACAATCTTGATATTTTTTAAAGCATCTCAAGATGCTTTGGAAAAATCTCAAGATACTTTGAAAACATTTGGAAAGATCTTGAGACCTTTTGCTTTCATCTCAAGATTTTCTGAAAGATCTGGAGATTGTCATGAACAATCTCAAGATTGTCTTATAAGATCTAAAGATTTCATCTAAAATATTGAGATCTTTAGAATGAATCTTGAGATTTTTCAATTTTTAACGAAGCGTAAAGATCCCCACTGGGGGTCATTATAATCCGCTATGTAACAGAGAAGTTTGTGACAAAAGATTGTATATGTACCTCTAAGCTGTAGATAGTCAGAGGCATTAGTCCAAAGTGCTCTGCTCATTCCAATAATAATCTGCTCGGTGTTTTCTGTCTTTTATTTCTCAATAATTAACTAGTAGATGACTAGTAACTTGAGTTTGACACATGCATACATGTATAATTAGGCCATGTTGATTTGATTATATGGATGACATCCTCTGGGAACCCCACAACCAATGCAAGCGTGCCAATAAAAAAAGTTTGGGAAAAAAAAAGTTGCTTTCATTGTGAAATCTACCTGGTCATGAAGGTTGAACAAATGACACAGAGTATGGTATGGCGAATAATCAACTCTTCATTATTATTATTAACTCAGTTCTAGTGAAGTCCTCTTGAATCAATAAAGCAAACAAAAAACAAGCAACAACATAAGTTGGCACTCCAAACATTTATTGGTGAGATTCTAAGGGTTCCTTATGTCAATCTTGCTTATTAAGCTATTCATTACACTTAACACTATATTGGTACAGTAGTTTTACAAATCCAATGTAGGTGATAAAATTTGATTCGTGCTGCTTCTTAATATGTGCATATCACACAAAAATCCAAGAATATCAATGCAGAAGTTAAACACAATATGCACCTCAGAATCTACAAGTGACTTCTGCCCATTACATATGTATATGACATTTACAGAAAATCACATGATTCATAAGTCATGTGCAATTAGCCTACATGTATGTAAAGAGATTATGGAATAGAGAATTCGATTTAAGTAATCAAAGTTCTCCTAATATACAGTTAAGATACGTTGAATAACCCACATCTCAAATACATGACACAATGTATGATAATCAACAAAGGGAAATTCAACATTGATGACTTGCCGTTATCATCTCAAAGCACAGGTCTAGTCCTTTTCGAAAGTCTTAGGTTGTAACTGGAGCTATTTGCCATCATAACTTGTCGGCAACAAAATAAAAAATGATGAAATTACCATTGGTCAAAGATTGATTAGAAATTATTCTTCGTAATTTACATGTAATGCTATGTGTAATGTACACTTAACGTTGAGTTCAATAACTGCAGTTATTGTAACAGTTACACATAACACAGATGCCATGCTGATGTTTCTCTGATTTTTTATTTTGCATCGGGACCGCCACCTGCAGCAAGCGGTTGTGTTTCAATAGGATCTCTTTCTTCTTTCCCTGTAAAATTTGTAACAAGATTAGATATTACGTAACAGTTGTCAAAAGAACATTTACTGCAAATACTGTATTTTATTTTTGGTGACATCAATAATTGATAACAGGAATTATATGCTTCTACATTAAATGACCAATAAATTGTCCCTTTTTCCCGGATTCCTTTTTAGTTTTGATATAGATGTGATCATGTGAATTTCAATCATATCATTAGACCTTACACACAAAAGGGGTGAAGTGATAGTGGAGCCTTCATACTTATTTCAACATCATTCTAATTTTGAGGCTGCCTGATTTATTGTATATAAGAATAGTTACCTAGAGCAGTCCTCACTGTATATACTGCCTCTGCAACCTGCACATTTGTTCGCTGCATTACACCCTGCACTCGCTCACCAAGTTCTGTTGACACATTATGTAAAATATCTTAGAATACAGATTATGCGTATGGAAACTGTTACAGTATTACTTGGTAAATACAAAATGGTGTATCAAACTATTTCAATTTGTTTCAAAAAGATCGGCTCATGACGTATTAAATACCCTACATGTCATTAAAGCCCGCCATATACACTACCAAAAATGCTTTTTCTTGTTTTTCTTGTATCTCTTTCTTCTTTCTTGTACAAAGAAAATGTATCTCATAGAAAGAAAATTATTCTTTGAACAAGAATCCCCGTAGCAAGAAAATTTAAGAAACACGTGTTTCTTGAATTTTCTTGCTGTAGCAAGAAAACAATTCTGTACACAAGAAAACATTTTTTGAACTAAGAGCTAGCTGTTCTTGAAGCAAGAAAACCATTCTGTACACAAGAAAAGATTTCTTGTAGCAGAAAATAGTACCGTAAACTTTCTTAAAATTCTTAAGATTCTTGTTGGTGAGCATGATATTAGAAATATTTTCTTTTCTTTAGACAAAAGAAGAATAAACTTCTTTGTGTAAGAATCAACATACAAAATTTTTCAAGAATGCTTCTTGAATTTTCTTGAAAATCACCCTGGCAAGAAAATATTTCTCAACATAAGAAAATAAGGAAAATAAGAAAAAAAGTTGGTATTGTATAAAAAATACCACATAATGGATCCCGTATAACCCGAGGTACTTGATCACAGGAGGGCTGAGACTGGGGGTGTTACGAGATCCGCTATGTGGTATTCTATTTATGGAAATGTATGCATGGTACATATGGTATACAGGATTCTTTTGATGTAACGAAATAGTTACTGACCTCGAAACTGTGGTCTCTCTCTTGGCAGTTGATGCCAGCATTCCTCCATCAGCTGTATGAAGAATGGGAGCTCATTTGGACCTTCTTTGGGGATGGCCTTTCTGTCAGGCCGCTGTCCATCGGTGACAGACGATCGGATATGAGCAGTATTGAAGGCATCTGATGTCATATTCAAAAAGAAACACAGACAATTAGACATTCCATGTAAGATTCTCCATTTAATACGTAATTTTACTGCATAAATAACAAACTCATTTGCATCAAATTTGTGCAGACACTATCTATAAGATAGATACGAAAGTGACATCCCTAAGCTAGAATTTATCATATTGAAGGTACAAACTTAACAACCATTTGAAACTTACTTCCATAAGGTGTCTGCCCTGTCAGAATCTCCCATATCAGTATTCCAAAGCTGAGTAAAAAGACAAAATGGAAAATCATTACTGAAAAAAATGAAACGAATTCCAAACTATGTACCATTGAATGTCTTTAGATATGAGTTTACCGCTTGATAATGGTCTACTTCATGAATCTTGATGATTTCTATATTGACATATTTGTTGAATCATTATGTAGTCTTGTTCTTTTTTAATTCCGAAACTTATTCTGCAATGGCTTCCTTAACATGTGCTCCTTAACAGGTGAATCTCAATGGCAATGGCACCCATGAAATCATTACGCTCTGAATTCATTAAAAAATGTTTATTTTATCCTTGGATCCATTAGTATATTCTTGGAACGTACCAACTGACTCATCTTGACCTGGGCCAAAAAAGTCTTCCTTGTCAGATTAAATTTTTCCACCGTTGGTGCGCCAAGGATGATCTGATACTGATACTCTACGATAGTTCTTGGGAAATACGAGTTTTACGAATTGTTGCTTACCTGTACACATCAAACTTTTCTCCAGGTTTTAGGTGGACGTTGATGAAGTTCTCTGGAGGAATGTGTGTCATTGTACCAGCAAGACACTCCTTACTTCCGTAAGATTTACTTGCCAGGTTTTTGTACTTAGATAGACCAAAATCAGAGATCTGTGGATAATATCAAGTGTTTTGATCAGTTCCAAGTAATTTCAAAGTAAAGGACATCACTTGGCTCTGTAAGGTTTCATGGCCATTGTAATTGTTATCTATCTATCTATCTATCCATCTATATCTATCTACATGTATCTATCTATATATCTATCTATCCATCTGTATCTATCTATCTGTAAGTATCTATCTATCTATCTATCTATCTCGATAAATATATAAATAGATACTAGTAGATACATGCAGAGATAGGTGAATAGAAAGAGAGATGGATAGATATACACTGTCAGATAGATCATAACCTTACACATGTGGCTAAGTATGAAAGCGTGATAAAAAATAAAAGCCAGATAAAAAGTGTTATTACATTGCGTAGCAAATTTACCTTGGCATGGAAGTCTTGATCCAGCAGGATATTCTGAGACTTCAGGTCATGATGGATGATCTGTGGATCCATTGAGTGGAGGAAGTTCATCCCCAGGATTGTCTCATGTATGATTCTCCATCTCAAGGCCCAGGGTACATGTTTGACACGAGACATCAAGTCACTCACAGACCCATTCTCCATGAAGTCCATCACGAGGGCAGTCAGTTCCTCCTCAACACACACGCCGTAGAGCGGCACGATGAAACGGTAGGCATTTTGGGCACATCGCATGAAATTGGCTTCCTCAATCAGAGCTTTAGTGACGCTGAAAATAATGACAAAAAATAATGAAACCATCTATCACTAATATTTACTAACCGTTGATGCTTTTTTTTCAAACAAGAATGCCTTACAGGCTTAAGTCACGTTCGGGACTACAGTATTGACTGTAGTGGGGATCGAGTAGAAGGTAGTTTTGTCTCCTGGGCCTGGAGGATGGTAGCAGAGATACATTGTTTTCCTGGTTATAAAGGGAGAAAATGTTAAAGGTAACATAATCTATCTGGGTTAAGGGGCAAGATGATTAAGATGTTAAGGGGCATGCGCGACAGAGTCACGTGGAGAGACACTATGAATGGCACCTCAAAAGAGGATGCCCTGAACTGAACTGAACTGAACTGATGATTATATTACTTTCCTTCTGGCTAATCGCAGTGTGACTGGTGTTGGGAATGGCAAATTAAGAAACAATGCAGACTCACTGTAATGGTGTATTTGCACAATGCACGTTTTAACTACCTGACGCCACAGGATGAATGACACAGGCATTATAGCTACATGTACTTAGTGGTGCCTTTGTTTTTCCTCGTCAAATACACTATTTGCTAGGTATGAAATGCATTTTTTCTGTTTAATGTCATCGTGGTAATTATTTGCAAACAACAGAATTATGCAGTCCAACCTCAACTTCTGATCTCTTGGTAGTGGAAGGAGTCTCTTCACAGCCACATTCATCATCCACCTCCTGTGATAGCCTCTGAACACGAGGCCAAAACCACCACCTCCGAGGGGTGTTTTTGTGTCGACTAGCAGGTCAGTGCATTTGATAGTGCTGATATTCCCTTGCCCTGGGGTTGGTTCTGTAGCAAAGAAAATTCCAATATTAATTGATATCATAAATAATTCATAATGTATTACAGATGCTGTGTATCCTTCTACATTTTTAGATTTTGGTTCAGGTGTGTTCAGACTTAATAAGGCCAAGATTTAGAGAAAATTATATGCACACTTTCAACAAATCGTGGGGGTGTGCTAGAAAAATAACCCATTTCGCAGAGGTAATTATTTACTCACCTTTCGTTTCTTGGGGTGGGCCATGCTCCAAGACATCTACAGTCATTGCCACTGCATCTCGCACAGGCTTTGATAACTTTCTGTCTCCCGTCATCGAAAGCAGCAGTTTTTTCACTTTGGTCTCCCTTTTGATGATGCCACTGGTGAGCTTACTGTCGGCCAACTTCCTAATGCACAGAAGTGCAGACTCCTTCTCTCCACCATCACCCATTTCTACTTGCTTGATGAGCAAGTCCAGCACGCCGTTTTTAACAAGTATCAGTTTGTTTTGTTCATTACGGACAAGAACACTTATGATGGTGGTAACCTGCAAGGCAGGATACTGAAAGCCTCCTCTTGTCGTGACATGGTCAGGATTGTCAAGAGCATCCCTCAGAAGAGACACAATCAGCTCTGTCATGTCCACATTCAGTCGGATGAAATGCAGGTTGTCCTCCTCTACGATGAAGGCTAGGCAGGAAAGTGTGGTGATCCTGACTCCCTCATCTTTGCTTCTCAGGTAAGGTGTTAAAATGCTCACTACATTGCAGCTGGAAAAGTATTCTTGGTTCTCGGGGACTCTTGCACAGTTGGAGAGGATTGTAACAAGTGAATGGATTGCTGGCCATGTCGTCTAAAAATTCAAGAAAAGCATTATGATTAGTACTTTGTTAGTATTCAGATAGAGATTAAGTAGTAAGTATGCTAAAGATATCGCATTTATCAGAACAACCCTCTATCCAAACCTTCACACCTATTCCGAATCAGCAAAAGTCAGACACAACCAGGTGGAATGAAGCATTTGATATAGTAGTGTGAAGCGGATATTTAGTATAACTCACATCATTTTGCTTCCTCCTGTGGAATGTAGAAAGGTCCTGTAGAAGTGTAGCAAGAAGATTGCATCTTCCCACTGTTCGGCAGAACTCAAAGCTGCCGTTTGTGCAATGGATGAGGAGTTCTCGCAGTAGCTGGAGACACTCATGATCAAACTGGGAGTTTCTAAGGTCATCTCGTCCCTGGATGTCTTCAGCAGGCACACATTTCAAGTACTGATCTAACAGAACTGGAGCTGCATTGATATTGGCCAGATGGTCTCCCATCAGCTTCTTGTGTGTGCTGCTTGCATACTTTGTGAATGGTAGGAGAAAATCATTCTCCAAGACAGTTTTCATGTTTGCTGCATCTGTGGATTGTTCATCTCCACTCTTCTTCATCAGATCTATAGCCTGACTCATCTTCTTAAGAACAGCAGAGATCACTTTATGTGCAGCTGTCTTTTCACTTGAAGTTGGTTGGTGTTCTATTTAGAAAGAAGAAATCATTTTCATGAATGTTGAATGTATGAAAAAGGCACGTCTAATTCCGTTATAAACTTAGCATGAACTACTTTAAGTGATGACCATTTCTATTTAAATTATGATCCTTTGCTTGGTATTGTCTTATTAGTTATTGCAAATAAGGTCCTTATTTGCATTCGTTTTCGAAATGTTTTGATAGTGTATTTGCCATGTTTCATGTGTATAAAAGAGTGTAACAAATCATTGTTTTTAATGTGTTGTGTACGTGTAATAAGGACGAAATTCGGGTATTTGCCCGAGAGAGCCTTGCCGAATAAAAAATTTGAATTTGAATAATTGGTATCCTTATTTGCATAATTGGTTAATGTTTCACCTGTCATAAACTACATACGTGATTTTATCTCTAGCTGTTGATTTTATGATAAAAAGCCAGTTATTTATGTCCAATACATAAGATAATTTTTCAGATTCAGATTCAGTGACAATCTCACCTCCACCTAGCTTCTCCATTGCATCCCCTTGCCAGCCATCTTTACCATTAGATTCTATGTCCTCATGAATCTGTATCTCTCCTGCACATCCTCTGCACGTTCCACAGTCATCGCAGCCTGCATGGCCATTCCCACAACCGCATAAACTGAAGTAGCAAATAGATATTGTGTATACATGTATATGTTCGTCAATATCTTCATCTAGTTGGTCGTGCAATAATTAAGGAAACATATTGAGGCATACTGTCAAACCATCAGTACTAGTTCAGTTTTGGTTATGAAATAAGAATATTGTTATATGCAAACAGTACAGCACAAAAATGTATATATAATATGTATTTTTATTGCCTATGCCCATTCAGCATCTGCAAATAGGCACATGCTGATCATGCCATTTTTTCATCGCTATGTGTATACGTGATCAAATGCATTTACTTTTTCGGTAAGAGTTGTAAGGGAAAGAATTCAGAGCTCTCAGGATATCCTTACAAAATGATTTAAAGCAATATGATACCGTTCCTTATTGATGTGGCAGTATTGTACGCATCTTACTAAGTCTTAGAAACATGGAATAAAAAAAAGTTTTCAAATGTGCACTGAATGAATTCTACTTAATTTAATTGAATGTCATTAAAAGTTATTCGCAACCTTAGGCTATCACTGACAGACCATGTCATATTAATACATTGTATGACTAACATTCAACCCATTAAATTTCACAAACCTGCCAGGGTATCGTCCTGGTTTCTCTCGAGCGGGGCACAACCTCCCATAGTGAGTACATTCCCCACATTTGACACACACCAGGCAGCGGCCTGTGCTCCAGTCATGCTTGTTTGGAGCACAGATTGTAGCTGATTTCCAGTCACCAGTACCTAAAACGGATTACCAACGACAACCATTGAAACAGTTTGGAGTGCTAAATGCCTTGATACAGTTGAGGGCTAGAAATACCACCTTTTCGACAGCAAAAGAGCAGTATTTTACATTATATGTAATCATATAGACATAGTTAAACACAAAATTTAGTCTTGTGAATTCATCTATCAAACGTTGTTCACAAGAGGAAGACTTGTTATGAATAAAGATGTTCACTCACCAAGTCCTGGGTTCCCTGTTCTGGTTACCAGCTGCGGGTTTAGGACCCATGTCCTTCCTAAGACCTTCACTCTCACTCTGTCATGGCTTATTACATTCTGCAGCCTTCCAACTTTTCCACAGGCCTACATTAAGGGGAGAGGGGAATTTTGTGAATTTGTGAACAAACGTTTCTGTCTGAATAAGGTACTTCATCTCGGCCATTCTATCATTATCACATCGATTGTTTCTAAAATTAAACATGCACCATGTTTATCTGACATGATACTTAACATGATACTTTTAACACGATACTATGTTTATCTGATATGCATGGTGCTTAATACTAATAAAAAAAATCTAATTAGGACAAATACCATTAATAAAACTGAATTTTACCCCATGCTGGCAGGTACAAACAAAGCAATGCCTTTGCAGCTTGGGTGCAGAATATGATAATGTAAACGTATTGTTAAAAAAAGGATTTCATACCGAAAGCATTTTGTGGTTATATCTTCCATGTTTTGCTGGTCTTTGGAGCTCCTGGAATCGTTTCCGATCTGACTCAATCATTAACAAGTCTCCAACCTGGAATGTGTCCTCTTCTGGGGTTATCTTGGTCAGAGAAAATGGGTTGAAGCACAGCCTGAAATGATACAGATAAGATTTAAAGTAAATAATGAGTGGATTGATTTTAATTTTATTCAATGGCATGGGTTTTGTACTTAACATACCAAATCATGGCTCTTCCCAAACTCCATCCAGAAAGGATTAGTATTTGAGCACTCTTACGTTTTCTGTCAATCTGCAACCAAATTTACTTCTATTGGATCCTGTGTTCCTTTGGATTAACAACATTTAAGCACGGATTGTGCAAATAGCTAATACGGCTAAAATTACATAATTTGAAGGGTACAAAATAGACATGACATTTTTATGCAATACAACATACATACCGGTATCATTAATTTCTTTTAAATATAAACCTAGATGTAATTACATAAACTTACCTTCTGATGCTGAAACGAACATAGACATCGCCATCCCGGTCGATGAAGCTCACGCATCCTACAAGTTCAAGTAACTGAAATTGAGAAAAGGGTTAATTTAACTTTCTATTGTCTTGGCGTATTTATCAACTTTCAAACCCAAATGCTGCCACGACTCGCGTGTATAGTCTTTCATCAACATGATGAAATACGCGAAACATTAGGTCATACCAATCTAGTTTTCCGCATTCAACCAAGTTATTTTCCTCTGATTTGGAAAAAAGGTAAAATTCATGTACCATAATATGAGGTTTTCTTTATTTTGTTTAGGTCATACTGACTAAACTTGATACATTGATGATACATATGCGCACACTTAAATACCTCTTCCATTTTGTCCACAAATCCACCATGTCCATCCTGCAGAATTCTCAGCCTGTTCATGTCCACAGCAATCTTCACGAGGTCTCCTCTAGTGAAGCCTGGATTTTTTATATCACCAGATCCAAATACCTCTTTCAGGTCTTAGAAAATGAAAAGATAATATTTCAGTTACTAGAATATAACTTTGTGAATTAATATCTTATTCTTTCCCTTCCTGTCCTAATGAACAACATTCTCACACCCACGCATTTCCCTGACGCCGAATAACATCCACACATCCATCTGTTACTGGCGCTGAATGACCTCTTCCTACCCATTCCATCCCTAGCTATCCCTAGTGCACATCAAAACTTTTCTGTCCACATAAGCATCTTACACACATCCATCCCTCCCCCCGGTGCGTAAGAACATTCACATCCACCTTTTGAACAAACATTTCGTTCAGTTCTCCAGGGGAGAATACTGTCTCATACCTGCCGGGCTTGCTCGTCGGAGGAGCTTCGGATTCAGGGGATACCCACTACCCTCGATCTGCACAGTTATCACATCGTTGAATGGGTATGTGGTTCTCACTTGGCCCACCTTTCCAGCAGTCTAAAAAGCAAGGTTTATTTAATTAGTTTACACTGTAAGAAATAGCCCAAGGACCCAATTGCTATGAACTCCTACAATAAGCACGTGTTCATAGAAAACAAATATATGGGTCAACCTGTCGAAAGGTTGTTTTCATTATATAGTAGGAGTTCAAGTCAGGTGGTGATTACATTATTGAGTAATTTGACTTTCTTAATACAAATTTCACAAACACACGAAAACACTCTGAAAACATATCCTTCTTGGCTGGTAAGAGAAATATTATTATAATACCATACATCGTATCACTGCATGGTACCCCCTTGCCCCTACATGGTAATCCTATGAACTAATCTATGACTTCATATAATATTCAATATTGCAATTGAATTGAAAGGCAGAGAAATTAGTTTTAACTAATGAGATTTTTGGTAACTTATTTGTTCGGTTGCTGCCTCTGTGGACAGTGGCTCTTACATGATTTCTTGACGATGTATCTAAATTAAATAACATCGGGTATTAAGAAAAAAAATAGTTCACCTTGTAGTACCCCTCTTGCCATTTGATGCTGTCCGTCCTTTCCTGAACACGTTTGATCTTGTCCTTGTCAGCCTCAACTTTGACCCAGTCTGCAACCTCCAGCACACAGCTGACGTCTATCTGGCCACACTCTGCCGGGTCCACTTTCCCCAAACTCATGGCATTAATGCACCACCTTGATAAAATACAAATAGAAATCAGTCAGTCAGTAAAAAACTTTATTCTCTCACTCCCAGTAAATTTGTTAATTATCATATTTCAGAGTTACTAGAGGGAGAACCATAAGTTTGCCTGAGATCCACGGTTATATTAAATTGGACTCGGAGACCTGTTAACCTTTGCTTATTAAAATCGCGTAGTGAGTTTGAGTTACTACACTGAGTTTGACTGAGAGGTCAATATTTGTATTGCTGCCCAACATGCCCTATGGTTCTCACAGACTCATAAGCTATACTGCTCATTTTGATAGAAAAATTCGATTTTTCTAAATATAGAGCAAATAGGAACGTTGACAAGTTGGTAGTACGTAATGCTTTAATTGGTACTTTAATTTGGTGCTAAAACAAATGGCAAAATGGTTTAGTTGTATTATCTACATTGTATTGTGTTCAATCAAACGCTTAATGGTAAACAAGCCTTTAACACAATTAAAAGCTTAATAGCAAACAGGCCTTCGTCAGTTGAAATTAAATACAATGTACCTAGTGCCATCTGGGTAATAGACCACAGCATCACCATCAATGTCCAAATGATGGACAACGCCAAAATCCTCCACTGACTGTCAATACAAGAAACAGGACCTGGTGTTTAGTGCAATTACACACACACGGGTGCATGGGTGGAGTATATTACATATTGAAAGTGATTTTATAGGTTCTGATATCTTTCATGTTACATGTCAAAATTCAGCTAATTATATATCTATCAAAATAATCTATGTAGCTATTGGAAAATAAAACCCTCTTGCCGACTTAAGTGCTACTATTAAGGCCTAAAGCATAAGTTGACATAAACCATAACTCTCATTGCAAAAATAGAGAATGCCGTGCATAATAGCCAGGGACCCCTATATACATGTAAGAAACGTTTACTTAACATTAACTACTCAGTACTAATAATTACCTTCTCCATCCTGTCCACATATCCCCCGTGGCAGACTTGATTAGTCTTGAAGGTTTCTGCATCAACATCTACCTTGACGATGTCTCCATCTCTTATGTGCAACACCTCCAATGGTTCTCTCTCTTCTGAATTATGGAAATTATAACTTGTGTTAAATAACCTCACATGCGTTGTAATCTAATTAAAAATACAGATACTGAGTTGCAATTATGGTGTTAAGCACAGATTCTTCAGAATCTTCAGTTTTGCTATACAAGTGTTCATCAGATGAGCATTTTATATCTAATAGAAATTTACGTAGTGCCATCCAGTACATATGCAAGTTTAAGACAAATATTAAATACTAGAATTCCGAGAACTCATACCTCCATGAAATATGATCTTGATATGTAAATGTAAATTCCTTCTTTAATCGTGCAAATGACCTCTGCATTAACATGATATATGCATCATGATGTATGTTAACTTTTGATTAACTTACAGATGTCCCAAGTATGACATTTTCATCATTCACCATTACGAAATCATAGAATTTTCGCATTAATTATGCAAATTAGGTCATCATTTGCATAATTAGTATCTGTTGAAGTTCCGCCTGCCATAGGTTACATGTAAGTAGTATAATGTAAAACACTGTAATTATAGAATTTCCTCATTAATCATGCAAATAAAGTCCTCATTTGCATAATTTGCATTTAATTATGTACATTTCTCTCTCAGCTACCTACACACCAAAAATAATGAAAATATGTTGTTCCTGTCTGGACTTATTGGCTTTTAAACATTTCGCCAGAAAGTGCCCTGTAGTTCCAGAACAAGCCGCTAGGGGGCCCAAACTCATATGACTTCTTCCCAAGCACGAGAGCTACCTTCCATGATTTCATGACCCTAGCATGTCCAGATCGCGAGATATCAAAACCGGAAGTTGCGCTGCAGTACCAAGGGAAGCCACTAGGGGGACCAAAATCTAATCATTTCTAGTTTTCGTCACACCCTACCAACACACCAAGTATGAAACCAATCCATCCAGGCGTTCTTGACTTATCTTGTTGACCAACAGACGGACAGACGGACAGATAAACGCAACTGAAAATATAACCTCCATGACACATTTCATGGAGGTAATAAATGATCGCAAAAGTCACGCTCCAAATTCACCCTGTACTTCATGATATCATGTTACTGTATTCAATTTGCAAAGGTAGCATCAGCAATGAATCTTAAATATGGCATCAAATTAGTGCATTATATATATACACACAATTGTAATCATGATACTCATATGTTAGTATATTAGTTGAAATTAATCTGGTTATTATCAAAGTATATTAGCTAAACAATATTTTTTTCCGTACTTAGCACTGCTCGGGACAGAGCTGAAGGGTGGAACCACCAACTTATCCCTGTTACGTCTACTTTTACGGATCTATCCTTGCATTTCATCACGCATCCTGTCTTCCCAACGGCCTGAAAAAACAAGGAAAGACTGCATTAGATTCTGTTCCGGTATCTGTATAAATTATATAGACAATGAATCAAACACGTAGATAGATAGATATAAAGCTACGGGGCATTCCTGAGAGCATCCGCAAATGTTCAATATTTGTATATTGAAGAAAGACAGTGAATTCTATCTGAAATATATGTCCCTTTAGACAATTAATCCATCCAGTCGCTTAATTTATTTGTAAGTTCAGTACCATGGTGTCTAACCTATTCTTTTACATTGTGCCACAGCAAGTAATTTTTTTATGGATGACATCAGTGCGCGCATTGGATTTGAAGATTGAGAAGGATGCTACCCATAAAATTTACTTACTGTGACCTACCAACAATAAACAGAACATAAAATGTATCATCTAATTTTGTAAAATTAAGATCGATTCAGCTTAATTACTGATGGGAAGTCAATGCTATTGGGCCCATGACAGCAAAATTGATGAAAACCTGGCCGGAGAATGCCAAATGCAAAGGCAAAATGTTTTTGTATTCATAATGCTCATGTATTCTGTCATATCAGTATCAGACTAAACGTTGTCATTATGTAAATTCTGTACCTATGATAAATCAATCATCTATATCAGTACGTTTTAAAATTTTTTTAACCGCAACAATGAGAGTCATACCGCTTCCATGTCACGGCTGTAGCCATCATGGCTCCCCTGGATCCTCTTCAGTTGTCTTCCATCTTTCATTATTCGAACAAGTTCACCTTTCTGATAGGTTTCTTCACCCTTCGGTTTAACTCGGACCTTTGTCAGGCACCCAGGAACGAATGACCACCTGATAAGTAAACGTAAAAGCAGCACATAATGTTTTAACAAGCGTTAGAAAGTCAAAACTAAAAAGTAATGATTGATGCATCTACCAATTTTTTTCTTAGAAATTCTATCATTTTCCACACACCATTTTGATAACTATATGTAAATACAGTGACTCCGTTTAAATACATTTTGTTCTTAGTTATCTTAATATTCATCTTTATTTAGAGTGCTAACAACTTAAAGATAGCTTCCTTAACAGCCAAAGGTTTGTTAATATGTATGCTAACGTTATGTGTACAATACATATGTCAAATCTGTAGACGTTACTGTAGACTTACGATGATTTAACTAGTGGTGCCTTAATGAGGCAACATTTGTTATAATATAATTACCTTCCATGGTTTGGAAAATGGACAGTGACACTTTTTGCTGAAGCAGTTGTGACTTTTCCATCCATTCCTCTGACCTGACATTGAAAAGAAATCAATTTTTTTAAATATTCCAATATGTAATCACAAGACGTGGTGGAAACACACTCAAGTTTTTCAAGTAATGCCGCCACCAACACGGGACAATACAACACTCATTTTCACCTGAGCGAAGAGAGGAAAGTCCCGCTAAGTGCCATTCCAAAGGGCACAGGATCGGTAGCATGGCAGGACTCGAACCCGGGACCTCTTGGTTCCGAGTCGAGCACTCTGCCGTTACGCCACGCGACCTCAGGTTACGCCACGCGACCCCAGAGAAATCAAGTTCAGCACAAAACAATTATAAATGAGCTATAGTGAAAATATTCACAATTTCATAATTATGTTTGGCCGATATCTGTTTAAGACTATTTATTAAAGTGATGTCATTTCTGATACCATCCCGGCGTTTCAAATCGCAATGCAAGCATTTTTGAGATTCAATAATGTTCTGGCACATACTTTGAATTAGAAGATTCTGAATGGAGATAAAAGATGCAAATAAAATTGCAATTTACTGAAATGTAAAAGCCCTTATAGATAGCAATCATACATTGTTGTTGTAACAAATAGTCGTTCAAATAAATGTTCATTTTACTGATAGGAAGGCCAAGACCTTGAGTGAATACACTCTAATAATGTACCATGGCTGATTAAAAGTTTAAAAAAACATCATTAGAATCTTAATTAGATAACAAGTTGATTATTACTTGTAACATGTCTTCATGCCATTCAATGCCTCCTTCCCGTTGTAGAATAGGCAGTGTTTGTGCATCAGCAGTGACTCTCACTTTATCTCCCACTGCAATGGCCTGGGCTTCTTCGTCATCAGAATCATGACCCCGCTGAGCTATAGGAATACAAACATGCTTGAATAACTCCCCTTACCTGTAATAAATATATCAGCATGGCTGGACAGCTGGCAGCTTCAATGTTTACTACACAATGTTTTATTGCCCAAGTCAATTACCTGGTCAGTTACCTAAGCCCACCGTCGTATTAAATGAATTGATGAATTAAAAGAATAAAACGATATTCGATAAATGCAGCATGGACCAGTAGTCCATGAACTAAAGGCACTATCCTGATACCCAGATGTTTACGACACTCTTGAAAAGGCCTCGATGATACAGAATTATAACCGTATGATGTCTATGCAATCATAAACGTTGAAATTACCTAAACCATACTTCTTCAACATGCGCAGCAGTCTTGATTTTTTACTTCCTCTATTGTCAGTTTCCTCCTCAGTCTCTCCAGCGCAGGCATGGCACAGTCCACAGTCTGCACATCCTCCTGTCTTCTCCCTACATCCGCATGGGCTAAGGGGACCAGATAGGTAAACAGGTCTTATATTTATTTGATAAATAGACAACCACGGCCTGCATGTGGTGTAAACTTGGTAGGCACTTACTTCAAGCAAAGTAATGTTTTAATTTAAAAAAAACTGGTACGCAACCACACCTGATGTCAGAATACCTGGCCTTCTGAAAACAGAATTGACTGCATAAGGTTATAGAATAGCCACAAAAAACATGGTTACCTCCCCCGTGAACGAAAAGGTGAACCTTGTAGATGACATTCAGTACCGTTGGCTGTACATTCACCACATCCAGTGCACACTTTGGCCACGCCCCTCTTCCAGTAGTGAAGTCCTTTGTCACAGTTTCCTGAATGTCGTGTAGTTCCTGAAATACATGTTGAACACATCTTGGTTAAGGTCATATGGTAAATTCATTTCCCTATTCAGGACATCTCTTTTTTAATTTTAATTGTAACATTGATGTAAAAATGTACCTGCACTGTTAAGTATTTGTTAGCACCACAATGCAGCCATTTGACATGGTTTAACGCCAACAATCAACTTTGCCGGTGGCAGATATGTCATGGTGGCGATAAGGACAGGGAACAAGATGACGGTTATTACATTTCACATTTTGTATGATGTCTTGAAGAAGTAAATCAGATATGACCAAAAAAACCAAACTCAATTTTTCAAACTTTTTCTGCTTTCAATATATAGTGTACGTACTTTGTGTGGATTGTAGGGTCTAGGGGGGTATAATGTAAAAGGATAACATTACGTAATACCTTTCTTCATTGTTATCTTTTTCACGGCTTCTGCATTATAGGTCCAAGTCTTTTCATCAACTCGCAAACGAAGGTCTCCTTGGTGGGTGATTTTTGTTACCCTTCCCACCTTTCCAAGGGTCTGGAAAAAAATCAAGAAAATGAGAAAAGAATTTCTATCTACAGAGTGAAATTTGTGTTTACGATTGCTGACAACAACAAAATTTTCTTATCTTGAACCTTTTCGACTAGATTGTCAACTGTCTTAAAAGACTGGAAGTTAGATTGTCAGTGACCTGCCCAAATTGATAAACTTTTGTAATACTGCTTGTACCGGTGTATTGATTGAATTAGAAATAAAATTGTTTTTATTATGCGCTTACCCTTCCCATTGTTTCGACCCATTCACCATGATCCTTTTGCAACGCCTTGATCTTGTCTTCGTCCCTCCCAATTAACACCAGATCTCCTTCCATGATGATGACAGAAGTGTCAACTTTTCCTACTTTACGAAGAGCAGCTGGATTGATGCACCAGCTACATAATAGAGAAAGGACAATGAACATTCTACAACCTTTATAGCCTGCAACATTCGCACAACCATGTCTTCCTCTAAAAATAGGGGTAATCACTTATGTTTTGTGAAAACCCCTTTGTTGATTGCAAACAATGATAGCAAGACATGACATGAAATTTTAAAAGTATACTCACACTCTGTTGTGCTTTTTGTAATATACTCGCACATCCTCGTCATCATCAATCCGAATAGCTACCCCAGTGCTGGTATCTCCGATTGCCTGAAGAGCAAAAAGTACGCGTAATAATGCTATCGGACATCAAATGTGTGCAATCCATAATGAGGTGTCATTGACTTTGCTTGCAAAATGCTGTTTTGATTACTTGACGCTTGAATTGCCCTCTTTCCTTGCATAAGGAACCTATTGCGAGTTAGAAAATGCTTCGAACTACATGAAAAGATGAAATTTAAGACACGAAACAATGGTTTTTGCTTTAGGAGCAGCACCATACAGAGAGGGCCATGATCATGACATACATAAGGTAATCAATACCATTTAGTTGGTACTTTCCCTCTACGATGTACAGTAGCAATGCATTTAACCTTACTTTTATATAAGAGCTGGGCGGTTTAAATTGCACTTGAAACAGTTTCTCATGTCCAATGACATTATACCATACTGTTCCCATTTAAGCGACGGTCACAACTCGCCGTGCGTGCTTTTTGTCCGTACGTTTTTGTCGTGGCTACGTCTGCTACGTTTTTTCTGCAAACGTAGGGTGGCCGGCCGAGGGAGTACGTCAATCGCACGGTTGCGCAAGGTGTACGTACGTGGTCTGCACGACACGCGGTCTGCACGACACGCCTGGCCGTCAGCGGTTGCGTGCATCGTACGTTGCACAAGTGGTAAGTGAGTTGTACGTGCTTACAACGCACGATCTCTGTGCGATTGCTACGTTGCCGCGTACAGGCCGTACCTACACGTGCGGCGTACGCACGGTTTCCTTACTCACTCGCACGTTGTAAGTGCGTGCACCTCCTGTTAACTTCATCATCACTAGCCGCCCTGGTGTCTTCCGCGGCCCGTTTCTTTGGGTCTTGTCTGGTAGTCTTCTTCTGAGCCTTCCTGGGCATCTTGGAGACGAGTTGGCAGTCGCCCGTCAAGTTGTCTTTATATACTGTAGAGATCAGGTGCGTTGCACGTGCGTTGCACGTGCGGAGCACCTGGTATGGTGCACGTGTGTTCTGCGTGGTCATTGAGCAGGTCAACTGGGAAGTGAGGAGTAAGCACGGATGACGCAAGCACCGTGCGTGGCACGCACGTGCTTCGCGCGCTGTCCGTACAGCAATTGCACGTGAGAATATTGAAGTTAGACTCACGGAGTCCGTACGTTGCACGCTCATAGGCTGTACGGGGCACGCGCGTCGCTCGTACTCGCACGCACGGGTGGTGAATCCGCAGACCGCACGTAGAAAAAGTATTACATGCACTTAAAGTTCTACGGCGTGTCTGCGTGCTACCAAATCCGTAGGATTCCGTACGGAGGTGGTACTCACCACGCACGGATAGCCTACGTTTGTCCACGTTTTTGCACGTAGACAGCACGCAGAAGCACGTACGGCGGGTTGTGACCGTCGCTTTACAGAACACACCTTTTCCAAATCATGGTGCATCCCTCCATGTCCTTCCTGTAACAGTTGAAGGGTCTCCACCGATTCTACTTGCAGCACGACCTGGTCACCTTCATGGATGTTTTTTTCGATTGCATCAGCCACAACCTGATCATCTGGAAGAGGGCGGAGTGAAAAAATTCAAGATTAGTGGTACGTAAGTTTTTTTGTTTCTCACATCATGGTTGTAAAAGACTGCCATTAAAATGATTGTACTGAACACTTTGAATGAATTATTACTTTGTATTTACAATATATCACAAATAAATGCTCTACGGTTGGTTGCAATTACATTGGAAATAATATGAAATGAACATGAGTTAATTGAGAAGGAGAAAAAATCGGTCAAAGAATACCACGTAGGAAGAATTAAGAGAGTTGACCTTACAGATTTACCAGAATATCCTTTTTGAATTCAGATAATATTTTTTAATGAAGATTTACCACATCTGGAATGTGGAAGGATCGACATACTAGTAACGGGTGACTATCACCTCTTCAAAGATATCAACCCAGAGACCAGACTGTAAGGTTTTAACCACTCACACTGGGAAGGTCCTCTACTGTTTTCGATAAGTGTGGTGGGTTCTTTAACGTGCATGAGGTGTGGCTCTCCCAAACATGGGACCTCCATTTGACGTCCTATTCGAGGTACGTCCCTAACCGAAGCTAGGTACTCATTTACACCTGAGTGAAGTGAGGAAAGTCGTGTAAAGGGCCTTTCCCAAGGGCACAAGATCGGTGGCATCAGGCAGGGTTCAAACCCGGGACCTCTTGAGTCTGGGCCGAACACGCTACCGCTACGCCGCACGACCCCACATACATTTGCAATCAGCCACTATCCTGATTTGTATGGATATTTTAATGGCGGGTGGGATTCTAATGGTTAATATTTTGTAATGAACCGCATGAATTTGCTATTAAAAAGATAAAAGTTTAACACTCACTGGCAAACTGGACAGCTATGGTACTGCCATGGATATCTACAGCAGCCCAGAGGTCGTGGGACACATCTACACCGCTGAAGAACAGTCCTTTCTCTTCTCCATTGATAGAGTAGAACACATCTCCTGATGAGTCCACCATGTACGTCACCACATACCCCTGCTGTGCAAGGTTGTCATGGAGAGGCTTTATCCAAAACCCTTCCGGAACTTCAGGGTAAGAATGCGCTGGTAGTGACTCTGCCGACATGTCCTCTGGACATTTGGACGTGAATCCAATTCTCATGGAGCCTCTGAATCTTCTGCTCTCCACAATCTTCAGGTGGATGTTACATCCCATCTTGATTGCGAGTTGGCTGAAACAAATGCCGTCCGTGTAACACTGGTCTCTCCGCGCAGTCGCACCATTGCTTTCGATCTTTATGTTCTTTCCGTGTACTGTTGGGTGGAAGGTGCCGTGTTGATCCCTCCATTTGAGCCGTGTGTTGCTGCGACTGTAATCTGATTGTATATTCACTGCCCCTGGGTTGAAAGCTGGCACACCCTGCTTTAACGTTTTTGAATTAACGACAGGAACCTCGTGCTTCTGTGGCCTCACCAAAAAAGTCTTATCTTTAGGCAATAGTGTGCTTGAACTTGACACAGCTTCATCTTGCTTCCTTGACACCTCTGGGCGTGAGGCAGATTCATCTTGCTTTCTTGACACTTCAGAACTCGAGACAGGTTCGTCCTGCTTTCTTGACATCTCTGGACTTGAGAAAGGTTTATCTTGCTTCCTTAACAGCTCTGAACTTGAGACAGGCACATCTTGCTTCTTAGAAACCTCTGGACTCGAGACAGGTTCATCTTGCTTCTTTGACACCTCTGGACTCGCGACAGGTTCGTCTTGCTTCTTTGACATCTCTGGGCTTGAGACAGGTTCGTCTTGTTTCTTAGAAACCTCTGGGCTTGAGACAGGTTCGTCTTGTTTCTTAGAAACCTCTGGGCTTGAGACAGGTTCGTCTTGCTTCCTTGACATCTCTGGACGTGAGGCAGGTTCATCTTGCTTCTTAGAAACCTCTGGGCTTGAGACAGGTTCGTCTTGCTTCCTTGACACTTCTGGACTTGAGTCAGGTTCGTCTTGCTTCCTTGACATCTCTGGACGTGAGGCAGGTTCATCTTGCTTCTTAGAAACCTCTGGGCTTGAGACAGGTTCGTCTTGCTTCCTTGACATCTCTGGACGTGAGGCAGGTTCATCTTGCTTCTTAGAAACCTCTGGACTTGAGACAGGTTCGTCTTGCTTCCTTGACATCTCTGGACGTGAGACAGGTTCATCTTGCTTCTTAGAAACCTCTGGACTCGAGACAGGTTCATCTTGCTTCTTAGAAACCTCTGGACTCGAGACAGGTTCATCTTGCTTCCTTGACATCTCTGGACGTGAGGCAGGTTCATCTTGCTTCTTAGAAACCTCTGGGCTTGAGACAGGTTCGTCTTGCTTCCTTGACACCTCTGGACGGGAGGCAGGTTCATCTTGCTTCCTTGACATCTCTGAACTCGAGACAGGTTCATCTTGCTTCTTTGACACCTCTGAACTTGAAACTGGATCATCTTGCTTCCTTGACACTTCTGGACTTGAGTCAGGTTCATCTTGCTTTCTTGACGCCTCTGGACTTGATCGAGGTTCATCATGCATTTTTGATACCTCTGGACTTGAGACAGGTGTATTTTGCGTACTTGATACCTCTGGACTTGAGACAGGTTCATCTTCCTTCCTTGACCCCTCTGGGCTCGGGACTGGTTCATCTTGCTTCTTTGACATCTCTGAACCTGGGGTGCTTTCTTTGATGTGATTTGGATCATTACTTCTATCTGAGACACAGTTAGGCTTAGGAGTTAATTGTGGAGACTGTTCAGGGTTAGGAAACTGTGCAGATCTCGTGTTAGTGTCAGCCTGTTGCCCTCCCGTCAAATTTGCCTCTTCCTTCAGCTCTGCTGAAGATTCTGTTTCCATTAGTTTGTCGTTATCGTGGAGTGAACAGTCAATTGTATCATTTTGAAAATAAGTGTCTTCAAGTTTGTTGACCTGTCGTGTGTGTTTTCCAGAGCTATGGCATGGTGTGGAGCCCAGGTTGGGGCCATCTGCCATCAATGCCTCTCCTGAAGCATCCTGTGGAAGTTGCTTTGCTGATGATGCGAAGTTAACTTTTATTGGGGTCCTATTGAGACGAGCTGAATGCTCACTCTCAGAACTATCCCCTTTACATTTTAACACATGTTGCTCTTCAGATATGTCTGCACGCTGATCTAGTGAGCTCTGTCTTGGGGGTGAACGTTTATTTCCATCATTGCCAGACTTGTTGCTGTCAAGTTTGGCAACTAGTTGAATGGATTGCTCAGAGCTTTCAACTCCGACGGAGCCCTGACTGAAGCTAGTGCCACGTTCTCTTGACTCCTGTCCATGTATGTCTAATACATCTGACTGGCTATTCTCATCGGGCTCAGAATCGTAGTTTACCAAGGGTTTGGGCATTGGTTGAAGGGACTGTTCAGAGGTTTCAAGTGGTCTGTTTGCTCGACCAGAGCCACTCTGTTCTTCTCTTGATACATCTATACCCTGGTTGAGAGGATTTTGCCATGGTGGTAATGTAAACTTAGCCTCCATCAGGTTTTTGTCCTGAACTGAACAGCCAGGTATCATGTGCTGCTTCCAGGTTGGTAGCGACTGGACAAGGTTGTCAGAACGGTTTGCTTGCACAGGTAGTACCATACTTGCCTTGATCTCTATCTCTGACACAGGTAAGTTGACACCGGATAAAATGTTCTTCAACTCTCTTTTAACTGATTCTTGCTCCTCTTCAAGCTTCTGTAGCTTAAGGTGCAAATGCTTCATTTTTGACATGATATCCTCATCTTTCTCAGACGGTGTATGAGAACTACTGTGACTATAGGAATGGCTTGAATCATCGTACTGTGCTGAAACGGCTGTTGGCTCCCTCTGTTGAACTGGTTCTTGGTGGGTACTAGGGCTGTCATGGATCTGGTTTTGAATGTCATTCTGTTCCATGCTCCCCACAGCCTCGTTTCGTAGTTGTTTTGCTGGTATTTGATTGGAGTTTTCACCTGTCTGAAGAACATGGCGTCCATTTGGTAGAATCAGATCATGACAGTTTTCTGTACCATCTGACCTTTCCCCATGCTGTTTTTGGGTAGGAAGGGCACTGTGTTGTTTGTTGCTTCCCAAGGGATCAGGTGTAAATGATCGATCTGGAACATTTTTCGTATGCATAGATTCTTCCTGTTGTCCCAGCCTTTCCTGCAAGAGAGGCAGTGATCCACTTCCACGTTCATTGTCTGTTTTATGGGAAACACGGCCACCATATTGCTGATTCGCTATATGGTGCTGTTCCATTGCGGGTGACTTTCCTCCATACCTTTGCTGGTGGACAATATAGGAAGACCCTTGGCGTTCAGTTGAGTCAGAATGCTGTTGTATCACTGCTTGCCTTTGCGTATACCTTTGTTGGTTCATATACGTTGTAGATGACTGGGGCTGTTCTTGGCCCAGTTGATGCACATGGCTCTCACGGATCCGGAGTTGCATGTCCTGTTTTTTAAGATTCAAAACTTCACCATTTTGTCCGCTATCACTGTCAGTAGTGTTGATTCCATATGCAGGCACCAGGTTCTGTTTCTGGAACTGCGCAGAGCTGTATAGACCTTCTTGAAATCGCGTGTTGGCGGCAGATGGTGTCGAGGGTTCAATACTTGTCCCGTGCCCACTATCGCTGTTTGGTGAGCCTCTCTTTGAATATAGGTCAGGTTCAACTTCTTCGAAATGTTCACTACATGTTTGCTGAGAGCTGAAGGTGTCTTCTGCTTTTCCGTAGTACCCGCTGCCCCTTCCTCCTGCAAGACGCTCGATCCCAAGATGATTTGGGTCGTTGCCTTTCTCCTCAACTCTATGCTTCAATGCAGTTGGTCCCCTCTCATTGTAGCTTTGTTTGGTTTGTGTCATACAGTTGTCCTGAAGTTGACCAGGATTCGAGGTTTGCCCTGTATGATCTGGCACTTTTCTCCAATGATGGAAAGCTATTTTGGGGATGGGTGTTTTAGCTGTTACAATTCATTCAATATTCAAAAGTTTGTCAGAGTATTCTTGGAAAAATCAATAACTTGTGTCATCCAACACCAAAATTCAATATATTCAACAACAGTCAACTAGCATGGATGGCTGTAATAGTGTGTATCAAATATACCTGTCACCTCGTTTTACGCCTTTTACTAAGTATCAAACATCAAATATTCATACTTTTGACTTGAAATGACAATTAATTTACAGTTTAATAATCTAGAAACAGAATGTTGACTTTGGTTCCATAAGCAGCTGTAAACCTGGTAATAGAAAGAAGTAGACCGCATATTATGAAGTATATGATAATCTATGACTGTGGTGATGGTGATGATTGTAGAATATTTTCAAAGATACATTTGATCAGAATTGCATTAAATATAGTATTACACAAGTTTTGAGCTTTAATGTTATATGATGTATAGTACTGTGGTAAAGACAACTTCACAGTTATATCACATTGTAGCTACACAGGTACTTTTGTAGAACAAATATCCGATAAACAACGTTACCTTGAGCTGTAGTTGGCGAGCTTGAAAGTTCTTCATGCTGCATCGGCCCACATTCACAGTACCCACAGCTTTGATTTCCGGGGCTCGTGTGAGCTATATACTCACCACATTTACATTTCATACACCGTCCTCTTTCTACATCTCTCTTATCCTTGCCCATTTTCTTCCACTTTTCTTATCTTACATGTCTGGGTAGATCTTCACGTTTCAGTACTTCTGTAGGGAGAAAAGGACAACTGGTCACAAATTGTGATGCAAGTTAAAATGCCTGATTTACAAAATAAACAATTCCCTTATCTACTAGCCTGGGTGCCAGACGCTGGCGTTGATAAGTGATACATTTTTTTTTGTGGGAAGAAGCTCTAATGTCCGATACTGTATCCGCCGCCCAAGTCCAAGCTGCCCCCAAACCCTTTATTTTTCACGCCAGCGGACGCGAAGAAATAATTAGAGCCAGGGCTCAAATCGGGGTCGGCGGGGCGTATATGGCTTCCCTGGCCGAAGGGGTTATCTCTCATTCGCGGTAGGGACTGGTACCCAGGCTAGACCAGACACACGGGCGCACGATCTATAGACCATTCAACCAAAATCTACAACAACATAATGATTATCATTATATCAAAATCTTTTTATACACGCGTACCTGAACAAAACTAATAAGATATATTGTTCTAAAACTTTGCCTGTATACTTCTGTCTAAAATAGTATGAATCTTTCGGTAAACAAGTTAGCCATTCAATGTCAACAAAGTAGACAGAGATTAAAAGACCCATGCAATATAAACTTCAACTAGTAAGTAATATATACCACATGACGTTCTTGTGGGCGTTGAAGTGTAAACGTCAATTTATTATACAATCATCTGAAATAAGGCCACACACCTAAAGGAAGAAAAGTAAAGGATTTCATATGCGTTCAATCAGTTGAGGTCAAAATCTTGACATTTGGCCTTATATAGTTAAAACCTCGTCATCTTTTTAAAGTGGTTTGTTTATTAATGAATGTTGATTTAACAAAAAGACGATTTTGTCTATTTTTATCCTTTCTCGTAAACATAACTTTAACAATCAATGGGACGTTGCTCCTGCAAACCTTACACAGTATACTGTCAATGCAATCTCAAATAAATGTCACAGGTGCTGAAAAAGAATAACTTCGTAGAACCTTCGTCCGACACTGGCACGAAGCTCGCTCGAAGCACGCACGACTTTAAAAACTTTGCGCAAGTCGGGCGAGATACGGAAGAGGGTCGCCCGAATATTTCGCGAAGCTCGCGCGAGGGTCGACCGTATTCAGCGACCGTCGCCCGATTTTCAAAGACGAAATACGGCCGAGACTCGTGGGATGTACGCCCGAATATCGGTCGACTCTCGGCCGCACAGGGACGAGCTACGGGCGAGCTACGCGCGAGCTGGAAACGAGCTCTGCGACCTCAAAAATCGCCGGCGACTAGTCGCTGATGTTAAGAACACGTTTCGCGTGTCAGCGAGCTTCGGCCGACTCCAAGAAATCCCTCAAGGACTTTACGTAAGTTTTTACGTAAGTTTCTGCCTACAGTATCCCCACACCCAGGAAATCCAGGGATATCATGCATGCATATGACGTCATTTTTTTCAAGGCTACCTATAAATCATGTAGTGATTTGCCCAGGGGCTAATACTAGTAACATTGCACAACAGTCGGAAAAGTATGTGATCTGCAGCCAATATAACACAATAGCATAAGCAAGGCTTTAACATACCTTGACGTAAGGAAATTTATTGCAACATTTTGTTGTGTTTCATGTCATCCATGTCGCAATTGCGCCAATAGCAACCGGTAGTGAACAGTCAAATGGAATGGATATTATTTTCTCCTTGGCTATTCAGCTGAAAACAAACTCTGTTTACTATAATCAGCCGGGGGGTTGCTCCGCTACAGCTCAAGCTACAACCGACAAACTACTGACCCTTTTCTAAAAACTTCTGATGACATGATTTAATTTCACTAGTATACCATTATCACAAAATTTATCAGCATTCTTTCAACTAAAATGCTGTGCAAGTTGCGTTAGTGAGAAGTTTATTGCAAATCCATGTTCGAAGGCTAATTGCAAGGTACAAAATAAACACAAAAGAACTCTGAAACAGAGTATAAAATAACTTCAAAATGTACATAATAAATCTAATTGTCTAAAACTATGTCTGAAGGGTTTGACTTCTCTTTTGTAAACCATGGAAGACGTAATGTCCCACCTTTTCTAAAATGTGTGGGTTTTTTTTACGTTAATTTTTGTCTGTAAGGTTTGGCAAGATGGGATAAATTGTAGAATTGAATAGCCAACTCATTTATAATCATTAATAGTTATTATCATATAGCCAGGTGGCGTTGACCAATCAGAAGCCCCCATTCCATATTGATTATGATGCCATAATGTCACAGTTAGCTGTCGCTCACTCGATGGCTTTATTCGGTGGTTATAGCAACTGACAAGGCTTTATCACACCATATTCACCTCGGGGCGGGTCATTAACCCTTAAATATCAGTCTAGAGTGAACACTCCTATCTATGGATTAAAAATGAAAGTGAAAGTAACTTGGTCACATGTAGCAAGGTCATCACGAAGATACGAAGGACAAAAAGGGCAAAGCGTTATCTAAGACTCAAATCAAGGCAATGGAACAACCCTTAAAATGATATAACAAAATACCATTGCAGCAAGAAACTGTCAGCGATGTAATATAACTACATCTAATAATAAATATAATGACAATTATCGCAGTTACCACTGGATAATTACGCATTTTAGGGTCACGTCGAAGCTATAACACATTAACATAACATAATAACACCAAGTGCCAATACTCTCACGGTTTTACCTGCGTGTCTCTTGAGGCCTTGCATCGTAATAAAAATGTTTCGGGGACTTTCAGTGAGTTTCTGCCGTCAAAAAGAACACCCGGGAATTCTGGGATGTCATGCATACATTACGCAACGTTAATTTAAGGCTACATGTGAATCATTAACAATGAGTGATTTGTACACCTGATACTAGTAACACAATGTATTTCATGTTGGTAACGTTAGAAGTTTTCAAACCAAAGGAAAAATTAAAAAGTAATTCCTACACTTGATCTAGGACCGCGCTTCTTGGAACGCTGGACAAAGCGCTATGTAACTTAGGCCACATTCCCACTAGGACAAAATTGTCCGGCTCAAGCCGAATTGATTCGCTTTGATCCGGCTTCGAGTCGGCTCTATCCGGACAATTTTATCCTAGTGGGAATGTAGCAATATATGACAGAAAAACAAACTTTGGTAACCATATGCAGAGAGGAGGATTTGGGGCCCACTTTCAACTTCATATAGCGTCTAAACGGCTTAGTTCGGAACCATAAATGTTATCATCGTAAATGTGACCAGTACACCATATATTATCCGAGTTGGATGGTATAGTAATATGATGAGTAGTTCAAGTTATAGGACTCAAAAGCATCTCCCCTTTCAACTCGTGTGCAAGGTGCATGTAATGTCAGCCAACAATGAGAGTACAATGTCTGACATGTCTCCCTGTGTTAAAAGTGAAAGTGGAAGTAACTTCAATCGCACTACGGTGACAATTATTTTAAGTGATAACTGACAACAAAAAACCATAGCGCTAGCACTCTTAAGCATAGGGGTCAAAACAAGAACAAGGTAAAGCTCAAACATAAAATGATTCGGTTTTTTTGCTGTATAACCCCCCATATAGGCAGAAACACGCCACACGACAAAGGTACCTTCGATGCATTCCACAACAAGATACTGTCAGAGCTGCAGTAAAATTGTAATCAATGTGCTTTGTTTTCCCTGGATAATTACATATCAAGTTGTAGCTGTAACACATTTACACCTAACACCAAAGGATTACTCTAAATATTTTACCTGGGGGTCCTGAGGCCTCGCGCCTTGCATCGTAATCAAAATGTATCAGGGACTTTCCGTGAGTTTCCGCGGTCGAAAACAACACTCTGGAATTATGGGATGTGGTGTATACATGACGTAATGTTTATTTAAGGCCACCTGTGAACCGTGATGACGTATACGTATTGACTTGTGCATCTGCTAATACTAGTTACACGATGGCTGATGTTTCTCAGGCAATTACGAGTTTTCAAAGCAAAGGAAAAAGTAACATCTAGTCAAGAAATGCTCTCCTTAATACACCAGATAACAGAGAAGCGTAGCCTACATATACGTACATGATTATTGTCTTATTAAAGATGAAGCGAACTCAGGAAGGTGTGCCAGCTGTATTCGTACCTTTATGTAGATCAGTGGAGATGGCACAGTATCTCTCAATCAAAACATGATTAATCTAGACGGTTGTCGTTGTATACCCCCCTAACTACCCAATTCGGTGGGACTTTTTAGCTCTACTATATATCTGAATCCTCAAGTGTTACAAACAAGCTGCGCAGTAATTATAAATAAGTTGATGACGTCGACAAGACAAACTAACACAAATTCACAAGTACTCACCCCTTGGCTTGCAGGATTGCTGCATTAAAGAAGAATCCAGAATTCTGAGTTAAGATATCACCGGGGACTTTCCAATTGCGGGGATTCCCCGCGGTGGCGTTTATGAAATTTGCATGATCATACTAAGGCCATGTTGATTTGATTGTATGGATGACATCCTCCGGGAGCCCCAAAACTGATGCGCGCGTGCGAATAAAAAAAAGTTTTGCAAAAAAAAAAGTTTTTCATTATGAAATCTACGTGGTCATGAGGGTTGAACAAATGGGACAGAATATGGTTTGGCGAATAATCTAGTCTTCAAGTTCATTTCTTTACAATTTCTTTTTTTTTTCGTTTGATTTTGGCATTCTACGACATTGGTATGGTTTTTTTTGTGACTTACGGTATATTTTTGCTCATTTTGCAACTGTTTTGTACGATTTACAGTATGGTTGAAAACTTTTTTTTTTGAAACGGCCGAAAATTCATGCGCGCGCGGATGTCATCCATATAATCAAATCAACATGGCCTAAAGAAGAATCCAGAATTCTGAGTTAAGATATCACCGGGGACTTTCCAATTGCGGGGATTCCCCGCGGTGGCGTTTATGAAATTTGCATGATCATACTAAATTATGTCAACAAAGTTTGGGGATGACATGGTATATTTTACAAAGATTGGTACCTTTGATTTAGGCAATGTAGATTCCATTTTGTTGTTGTTGTTGTTTAAGCACACTTGTTATTGCAATAATAGTAAGCACGAAATACGAGCTGATGTTGAAAAATTTACATCAGGTTACAATTACTAATCGGTACTTTCCGTAAATTTCTGCTTTCAAAAACAACACTTGAGAATTCTGGGATATCATGTATGCATGACGTAATGTTTATTTAAGGCTACCTGTGAACCGCGGAACCGTAGTATTTGCGCACCTGCTACATGTAACGTGATGTACGTATGTACATGTTTTCCAAACAAATAAAAGGTAAAACTATTATACAGTAATTGCCATGGAGCCTAGCCCCAAAGACAAATATAGGTAACCAAGTCTCTAAGACCCAATCCGCAGTCAACACTATGGTCGTGTTTAGGCATATAGAAATATGAACTCTATCTGTAAGTCTGTCTGCCTATAATTCTGAGAACGCATGCAGTTTTTCAAGCCACAAACAGTTGTGTGGCACACCTCATGGCGGTAAAACAGTACAAAAATCGATCATAAGCACATGAAGCGACACAGAACAGAAGATCAACTTTAAACCTCACAACGCAGCATTTCCGGGTGGTAAAAAGCTATCACGCGATTACAGTTCCGCGTAACCACTACGTACACTACGTAAAATAATGTGTTATCGCCATTTTAGAATAATCTGCTTAAATCTCATGTATGCTTTAAGGTATAAACGATCACTAGTGATGATGCAGCCGACACTCACCTGGCCTGTTGCTCGGCTTGTACTTCCATGGCAAGAAGCGTCCAGAATATTAGGAGTTTGTGATGTCACCTCGCCGGGACTTTCCGATTGGGGGGAATCCCCACGCTCGGTGAGTTAGACGCACAGCGCTTGATTATAAGCAAATGCGTCACGCAATAAACAACAAAGAAAACTTAAACGAGTTCGTGATTAAAAGTGTAGGTCAGATTGGATTTTATTGGTTCCGTATAATTCAAAATCACTCAGCCCTAGACTGACTAAATGATCGACCAAAAGTGGAAATCTTTAACCCCCGGCAGCGAGAGCTTGTGTAAACACAGACTAACTCAGCCCTGGAGACAAGGTCAATCAGAGGTCAGTTCACCAGGGACTGATGACTCATTTGTAGTTCTGGCCCCCACACGATAGCTGATTGGCCAACAAGTGCTATCCCGACATCCCTTTAGTGCTACTTGATCTGTAAACAGGTGGGAAGTACCGCAATTACTCAACTAGCGCAGGAGAAGGAACTGTTCGAGTCCTGAAAGGTGAGTACCACAAAACTATATATGCATATAGACCGTAAACTACGGTTTTGTGAAGAATCCGTGGCTCGAAGCACAGTCGACGTTGGTACACTCTGTGTATGCATAGAAGGCGCTACTATTTCCATTCTTTGTATATCTTAGTATCGTACTATGCACTTCCCACCTGAAGTCAATGTATCTATTGGTTGATTCTGGCCCATACATTGTATGTCCAATTTAGTTACTGTGATCTGTTTTGTTACATCCCGTAGTTTCTATGGCTGTCAAAGTGGATGTTGTTATTGAGACTTGGTAAATACGCATATGACGTAACTTTTACTTTCACTTTGAACGAGGGGTCTTTAAACATCACTGTGTGCATGCCGCATTGTCCTCAACATTAGAATCCTCTGTCTCTCGTTAATGCTTTTCGTCATAACAATTACTGTTCCGTGTACAAACTATATAAGGTTGTTAAGTATGATGAATCAGCACACACCGTCCGAGTCTATGATCTCTACCAAAGGAATATCGGCGGTAAAATAGTATACAAGACAAATCGACCACAATCACATGGTAGCGACGCTAAAGCATGACTTACTGAAACTTTGAAAAAGTGCAAATACGTAGTGTAAAGCATTCGTGCATTGTGAACAATGACTAGGTACATTCACATTATAATTGGCCTCCCGATTTTGTATCCTTTCAACTTCAGTAACCTTAGAACGTAGCGCTTCCGGGTCGAGAAAGAGCTATTACGTGATCCCAGTCCTGCGTGCGTAACCACTATGTATGTGTACAGTGTGTAATTTTAACGCTCCAGCCAAAGGTGACGAAATGTTTTAAGGTGCACTAGCAGTAGTGATCGCTCAGCTTTGCTCAGGTTGTGCTTCCAAGAAGCTTCCAGAATTTTGAGTTCATGATATCACCTCGCCGGGACTTTCCGATTAAGGGGATTCCCCACAGTGGGATTTACTAATAAACAGACCATTAGTCATGCAATGTACAACAGGGAATATCTTTCTTATAGGCACGAGATATGATGACAAATAGAATGGACGTCAGATTGGCTTTTGTTAGTTCCGTTCTATACATATTGCTAAATCACTAAGACCTGAGACAAAAAAGAATTGAGAGTTAAGACAAAAATAATTCCCGCCGTGACTAAAGTGTGGGGAGAACCAGTGGTACAGACGTCGGACTGCTGTTGTTTTTGTTTACGATTCTCAAAGCTCGTTTTTGCACAGCCTCGAGAGTCTTCCTTTGTGACTCAGTACACCCCACATATACAACATTTGCATATTCTAATACCGGCCTTACAGGGGTCGCGCACACAGTGACCAAGTCTTCAGGAGGCATGCCGCCCTTGGCCAGAAAACGGAGGAAGTGTAGGCGCCTCGATGCCTTCTTAGTTACATGTGTGATTCGTGAGTTAAGACCTAAGCGGTCTTGTCTTCACATCGATCATGACTCCTTTGTATTTCTGGGCCACTACCAATTCTCGATAGCTGATTGACCAGCAAGGGCTATTAGTACTTTTTTTCGGAGCAGGTGGGAAGTACCGTAATTACTCAACTCGCAGAACTAGGAGTTCACATCCTGAAAGGTAAGTACTGTTACAGTAGAATATCAAAGAGCGTGGACTATAGTTGTGTGAATAAACATGGTTCGAAACACGAACGTCGATACACAGAGTCCATGCATACGAAGCGCTATTAGTTTGAATTCCGATATTCATGGCAACGTCGTACTTTGCACTTCTAACCTGGTGCTAATGTATAAGCCAGTTAGTAATGTTGATGAAGTCTTTTACTATCTATTTATTGATTCTGGCACTTATGTCCACTGTAATACTATTTTTTATTACATTCTATCTTTACTATAACTGACAATGCGGGTGTTGTTATTGCGTCTTGGTATTTGCACATGTGACGTAACTTTCACTTTCACTTTGAACGAGGGGTTTTTAAACGCCATTTTTCAAGGATCCACTCAACATTCTTTTTGGTCATTACACGCTTTATGGTACAAACGTTTTAAAGCTATATAAGGTCACGCCGACTTAATTTTATGGATGACATCCTCTGAAGATCCCCAAACTAGTGCGCGCGGGCGAATAAAAAAGATTCCGGCCAAAAACAAAAATGCTACTAAACCACAGGAATACAAAGCTGGTATCGTGAATTTGCGGCAGTACATGTGTATAGCGACGTATACGACAAGCCGGCAAATGCTGGCTTTTCGCGTAATTTATGAATCGGCACTGTACGTATGTACTGAGTTCTTGAGTCGTGGAGCTTCGGTAGCCCGGGTGTCATCCTCCAGAGTTCCCACCGGCTCCATATTGTCGCTGGCCATTGACTAACCAGGCCTAGAGCCAGGCCAGAGCCTCGGAGGACGTGATTTTATTTTTGAGAACAGGCAAAATCAATGCGCGCGTGGATGTCATCCATAAAATTAAATTGGTGTGGTCTAAGGGTGTCTATGAATTAGTACGTACCGTTCCAGTCTACTGTTCCATCTTTACCAAAGGCATATCGGGTAAATACGTGACTTCGTGAGGAGGCGACGACGTGACATATAGTCGAATATTTTTCTGCGTTCTTGTTCGCCTCAGTACTACCCTATAATTTCTAATTTCTTAAAGTCATTCTTTTTCTGCATTTGAATTGTGAAAAAAAAATGGTACCCGAAGGCGAAGTCCCCGTTGATGGGTGGTAAACTACATCTTAATAGGACGGGACTTTCCGATTGAAGGGACTTCCACGTTGAGGCTTACTAAAATCGGGTGTGCAGTGCATGATCAGTCCTTCCCACATGATTTTACCTGCCCGTCCAGGAGCCTGGATTTTATGGTAGGTAGGTTACTAATCGGTAATTCCCGTACAATTTCTGCTCTGTAGAACAACATTTGAGAATTCTGGGATATTATGTATACATATATGACGCAATGTTTATTTGAGGCTGCCTGTGACCCTCGGGGGCGTTATGATTTGCGCACCTGCTAATACTTGTAACTTCAGTACGAAAGTAAGTACGAAATTTTCAAACAAAATAACAACAAGGCCGCAGAAAAAAAGAACCTGTCTCTTTTACGCAAAGACGACGGACCATGATGCCCGACAAAGCTAGGTCTAAATATGGTAAGCACGAGATACAAGCTTATACGTGGAACAATTCATATCATACAATACGGATCAATTATGACAGTTTAGCCCCGGTCACAACCTGCCGTACGTGCTTTTTGTCCGTACGTTTTTTTGGGAGGCTACGTCTGCTACGTTTTTCTGAAAACGTGGGGAAGGAGTGGCATCGACGCACGTCACTCGCACGGTTTCGCAAGGTGTAAGAGTGTGGTCTGCACGCCACGTCTGGCCGTGAGCGGTTGCGTGCATCGTCGTAAGTGAGTTGTACAACGTACGATCTCTGTGCGATTGCAACTTTACCGTAAGGAGGGCGTACTCACACGTGTGCCTTATGTACGGTACGTACGGGGCACGCGCGTCGCTCGTACTCGCACGCACGGGTGGTGAATCCGCAGACCGCACGTAGAAAAAGTTTTACACGCATTTAAAGTTCTACGGCGTGTCTGCGTGCTCCCAAATCCGTAGGATTCCGTACGGAGGTGGTACTCACCACGCACGGATGCCCTACGTTTGTCCACGTTTTTGCAAGTAGACATCACGCAGATTCACGTGCGGCGGGTTGTGACCAAGGCTCAAGGCGTACCTTCATTTCAATTATTCTAAGAGCTTATTGTCATGCCTGCCCGTCCAGCTAGGCCCCTGGCTTGTATGGCAATTACTAATCGGTACTTTCCGTAAATTTCTGCTTTCAAAAACAACACTTGAGAATTCTGGGATATCATGTATACATTACGTAATGTTTATTCAAGGCTACCTGTGAACCTCGGAGACGTGTGTTATTTGCGCAACTACTTGTTACGCGAGGTGACTAAAGGCCAAGCAAATAAGATCAGTAATGCCACAGCGTGCAGTGAATGCTTAGGCCTCTCCTTAACACAGCTCAAGTGACAACGGATAAAGGCATTAAAAGACAAATACAGGTAACTAAGTCACGCAGCCAACCCAGCATTCAACAACATGCGCATTCTTATTGTGAACTTGGCTATTTGAACACCGTATCCATGCAAGCCACCAAAAATTTGTACAATGGTATACCTCAAGGCGTTAAAACAGTACACAAATTGACCACAAACACACAGCGGCGCAAAAGACATGAAACATGAAGGATATTCATATTATGATTCGCTTCCCGTTCAGCTTCAGTAATCTCACAATACCACAGCACTTCCGGGTCGAGAAAACGGTAACACTTGATCACAGCCCCGTGTAACCAAGCTGTGTAACCGCTACATACTGTGCTCACGGGAGTGTGTTATAATTTAACCCCCCACCCCCACCCCAAATAAAAAGCATGCTGAAACCTTAATGTTTTTAAGTAAACTTGGCGGTACGGGGACACTCAAATGCTGTTCGGCTGTTGCTTCCAAGATCAAGAAGGTTCCAGAATTTGGAGTTCATGATATCACCTCGGCGGGACTTTCCGATAAAGCGGATTCCCCACAGTGGGATTCACCATGCTTGAGCTCGCAGTACATGATCGCAAGTCATGAAGCTAATCAATTCTGTACAACAGAAAAAAATATATTTTCTTTAAGCACGGGGTATATGTTTATAGTTCCTCATGTTGTCAAATCACTCAGGCCTCGGAGGACTCAATAGAAAGAAATTTGGGTCAAGTTAAAGTAAAGGAGAGGTCATACTCATTCTGAGCCTCTACATGAACCTGTTCTCGATAGCTGATTGGTCAACAAGTTCTATCCCGGCATCCCTTTAGTGCTATTTGATCTGTTGACAGGTGGGAAGTACCGCAATTACTCAATTTGCAGGAGACGGAACAGTTTGCGTACGTGTGTGACGCTTAACCATAAGGAAGGTAAACTATGCTTTTGTAAAGAAAAAATGGCTCATAACACGTATGTTAACTTAGCACAAGCA